TACGACCGCCAAAGGGCTTCACAGAGCAGAGAAAGCATCAAGCGGTGACCGGGCTGATGAATCTGATGAAAGAGATGCACAGGTACAGGCTTTTGTTTTAGGGCAAAGTTGTCATTTGAAAGATCAGATTTATTTGCCGTATGTTCCCTAATCAGGTCACTCCCGATCTTCTGAAAGGACAGCAAGAGCTCTCAGTAGATCCAGCCGAAGACACGACGAAACAAATGCTGTTCACTTACCTGAAGGCTGGGTAAGTCCCCCCAAGCTTTCGGCACTTTACTTTAAAGGGGCAAACAGACATTTTAGGAACTATAGAGCATATATTTGATTTCTTGCTAATGGGTTGAATTACAGTGTTTGTCTATATCTTAAATAAGAGAATCCAACAGGAAAGGCAACTTGATTTGTATTGTTAGCGTTTAAGCACACACTGTAAACTTGGAGGAGCAGCGAGCAAGGCTTTGTGCAAACAGTTACAAAGAACAGTGACCGGCACCTCTAAAGTTCAGCGTTTTCAATTTTGTTTGTTTAAAGTGCACAAAAGCAAAAGTTTAGAAATGTCAGATGACAGTGTTCTGGATTACTTTATAGGCTGTCACATTATTAGCTCTCTGAAGTCTAGCAAACAGGATATGACCTGTTGTGAGATTTAGACCCTTTTTAAAATAAATTATTAGCAATAACAAAGGAATTTTACTGAAATAAAAGTATAATAAAGTTTCCACTTTTTTCTTTTTCCTTAAAAAACAATTTAGTTGACTTGGTCTCATTCTATATTCCCCCCCTGCTCATCCACACCTCACCTGCAATGCCCCACATACTTCCTTACCAGTATATCAGACTCAAAATAGAGGAGTTGCGCACTAATGTGAACACGTGCGGTGGAGATGTTTGTGCTTTACAGACGATCTGGCAACATGGTTAACATTGCACAAACAGTACATGCAATACTTATAAATCATAAACTCTGAAGGATGTAGACTTTATCTATACATTTTCCATGAGAAACAGCTTGTTTGAGCTTGAGATCAGATAAGCAAGTGGTCCGGGTCATGGGGGCAGTTGTCTAGGCTCCATCTAAAATATGTAATATCTTCCATAACGGCTCTGCTGTTACTCTAAACTATCTTAATAAACAAGTTTAGTTTCCTGTTTTCAACCTCATTTCCAATAAAAAACCAATCGAACAAAAACAAATTATATTTGTTGTGTATAACATTGTCTCATTTTTCATAATAGTATATTCAGTACTCCCTGTTGGTCTAGTGGTGAGTGTGTGGTTGAGATCAGGCAGTGCAGTCTGATACGGGGAGCTGCTCCAGATGTGTGTTCTCAAGTCAGGAATGTAGAGCACGACCATGTTTTTACTGATAAAATATCTGCTGCACTTGGAAAGTTTGAAACATCTACCAGTGCCTGTTTGGTGCAATTTATTTACAACAAAAAGCTGAATTATGTGTTGTACCTCTAAGAGAGGTCAAGTGAACAATGTTTTATTTCTGCATACCAAAGCTACTTGACATCACGCTCAGAGGAGGTCCTGCCCTGCCACAACCAGATCAAGTTTCATCTTTTCATCGGTGTTGTTACTGTGTTTGCTAAATATTTTTTCTTGCTGCCCAGAACGACTGATGACGACTCCACCACCCATAGAAAGGTCCACCTGCTCTTTCGGAGGATCAACAAGCTCAAATGGAGAACTGCTGCCAATGTGGAGCAGGAGGAGAAAGTCAGTGTTGGCATGAGATGTTCGTCAGGGCAGCTCACTCTCCAATGTGATTTATTGTGTTTGTCTGAAACTGCTTATATTATTGCAATGTTTTGCTTTTAGGACTACGAAGAGGCGATAAAGCTCCTGCGGGAGAAACAGGCAGAGCTGGAGAAAGAAGTGTCGGAACTGAGGCAAAGACTAGACGCTGAGATGAAGGTGTAGTGTAGCCCCATCCTGCTGAGTCACCTCCAAACAGCTCACTTCCTCTTCCTGTGACTGACAATATCCCTGTCTGTTGTTGTTCTTTTCCTGCAGAATGAAATGACTTTAGCCAAAGCCTGTGAGAAGGCGAGGACAGAGAAGAAGAAACTTCAGGAAGAGCTGATAAAAAGCCAAGCTGAGCTCAGCCAACTCAGGGACAAGCTGGGAGAAGTTGAGGCAGAACTTCAGTTTACCAAAGAGGAGTAAGGCTGTGACCTTCACGTCATTCACCAAAGCTTTAAAGTAAAGCTCTGCCTAGTGATTCAGTTTAATTTGGTTTTAATTATTTAGTGCCAAATCACAACAAATGCCTTAGTGCACTTTATATTGTAAGGTGAAGACACAATAATCAGTCGGCCCCCTAATAGCAAGCGCTTGGCAACAGTGGGAAGGAAGAACACCCCTTAAAAGGAAGAAACCTCCTGCAGAAGCAGGCTCAGGGCGGGGCAGCCATCTGACACTAAAGTCAAACTAGACTCGCCAAGCCTGAATGTGTCATGTTTCTGCAGTTTAGGTGAAGCACTCCATATACAAACCGACTGTTGGGATTTAAATGGTCAAGTCCAAGTCCAAGTGCTACTGGTCATGAAAGAGCCCAGCACGTGCATTTTAAAATAAAAATGATACTGCACAGCCTGCTGATCTGGAGGATTTGTTGCTTTTTGACAGAACTAGTACTGCTGCCATATTACAAAGTGCTTTTGATCTTCTAAACTAAGCAAAAAGACAAATTAGTATTTTTCCCACTGGAAAAAAACTCAACAACATTATTTTAATGAAATCCTGAGATACAGAACTTTAACTCAATGCTGTTTTTCAGGGTCTTCGTGTAAGCCTCTGCTCATGCTCTCTGGTCACTCGAGTGCACTCTGATGTATGATTGGATGAAGGGCATTGAACTGAAAGCAGTTAGTTGAATACACTTTTGGTTTAGTGGTAGTTTGTTTCAAAAGTGAAGATTCCTGTTTTTCAGTCTATTCCAGTTAAGCAGCTTTTTGCAGCATTTAAGGAGAATAAGCGAGCTCCTGTCTTTGATATGAAATATGAATCTGTTCTCGTATGTTGCCAGGGTGGTTCAAATGAAGGCTGAGAAAGAGAGAGCTAAAGCAGAGATGCAGGACCTTCAGCAGCAGCTCTCAGAGATGCACGACGAGCTGGACCGAGCAAAGAAAGCAGAGGTGATAAATGAAGAGAAAGAAGTCCTTCTGCAGGTAAATGAAAGCCCACGAGCCAACATATAGCAGATGGAAAGCAGCTTTTTCCCTTAAATATATATTTGTGATGGTGAATTTGACAGGATTTATCCCAGCTGCATGCAGAGTTTCAAGAGATGCTACAGGTGAAGGAAGAGCAGGAGGACTTGCTGCATCGCAGAGAGAGGGAGCTCAGTGCCCTGAAGGGAGCACTTAAAGAGGAGGTGGAGACTCAGGATATATACACCTCTGCTCTGAAGGAGGAGCACGAACAGGAGCTTCAGAAGCTGCTCGGGCACTTGGAGCTGGTTAAAGAGGTACCAGGAAACATACCTCCATTTGCTCTGATCTATCACATCCCTGTGTCACGTCATATTTCGATGTTGATCTCACACTTTGCTTTCGCCCTGTCTCTCAGAGCAATGCTCTGCTCTGCCAGAAGAAGCTCGAGGCGGAGGAGGAGAGCGGTGCAGCTAAGGTGCAACTGAAGGAGCTGAGCCAGGAGAGAGATCAGCTGAGAGGGAAGGTGCAAGAGCTTAACAACAAGTTGGAGCAGCTGAATCAGGTGATCCAGGAGTACAAAACCACAGAAAGACAGTTGGAGCAGAGATCAAAGCAGCTTGAGGTGAGGAAAGGGGTGCAAATGTAGGGAGATAAATGTCAAATTTTCAGTTTGTTCAGTTTTCTTTTGCTTCATGCCGTTTCAGAGGGAAAAGCAACAGGTTGAGGAAATGCTGGACGATGTGAGGAGGAATGAAGAAGAGATGTGTCAGTCTAACAAGTCGCTGCTCACTCGCTTGGAAGACGTGCAGGTATCAAGGAAATAGGGTTGAGCGGGAGAAAAATGGAGCACACTTCATCATGTCTACTATATCATATTATTTCATGAGCATCATAGCTATGCTCTTGAAATGAATTCTTTACTCTGGGTTTTCTTCTGACAGGGTAAACTAGCCAAATTGAACCATGAGCACAGAGACCTGAAAGAGAAGCTCAGGGAGGAGAAGAAGCAAGTGGAGGAGCTGTGGAAGACAAAAACTGAGCTGGAAGATGAGAGAAGGCTGCAGGACAGGGCCATGGAGCAACTGCAGAGGAAGGTGAGAGGGGGACATAAACTATTCTTTTAAGGCCTTCCTTCCTGTTCTTGGAGCCAAATGAGGCCTGAAAGTCTGCTATCTTAACCCTGAAGCCATGAGATCACCAGAAACAGCTGTTAAGTCTCGTGCTTGCATAACTTCTTTCATCTCCTATGTCTCGCTTATCTGAGCTCTTTGTTTATCTGCACGGGTAGATGAATGGCATCATAGAGGAGTGTGAGGCGTCCACAGATGTGCTTCAGAACCAGGTCGATGAGGCCAAAGAAAAGAGTCAGAGGGACTTGGCCGAGCTGCGGAGACAGCTGCAGGAAAAGGGAGCAGAGCTGGAGAAATCCAGACAGGCAGCCAAAAAACTGCAGGAAGAGGTGTGGTGCTCACCGTCTCCCTGATTCATCAGCATGAATTAGTCTTAGTTACCAAAAGAAAAATAAGAGTATGAGAACGTGCACGTTTTGTATGATTTTGAATAAAAGTGGTCAGACTCTACGGATTATGTGTTGTCTGTAGAAGTGTCTGCTTTACTGCTCAGCACCGGACATTGCATGTTGCTTTGTGTTTAACCTTTGAGCTGTTTTCTTGTTCAGCTGTTTCCTCTGGAGGAGGATCTGCGGAGGTGTCGCAGGGAGCAGCAGGAGGCCCAGCTGAGGGGCCGGCAGCTGGAGCAGAAGGTGGAGGAGCTGGAGGAGAGGAATGTTGCCGCGATGGACGAGCGAGAGCGCCAGGTCAAACTCATGGAGGTAAAAACATCTCTGAACCTCCAGCTTGTCAAACTCAAAATGCAGCGGTGGTTACCACTGTTACCTCACAGCAAGAAGGTTGTGGGTTCAATTGCTCCATCAGGCTTTTCGGTGTGGAGTTTGCATGTTCTCTGGTTTTCCAAAGGCATGCATTTTTAGGGGCCTGGTTAACTGGTGAATTTGAATAGTTTTCTGTCTCTCTGTGTTAGTTCTGTGACAGACTGTTAACGTGTCCAGGGTGTACCCCGCCTCTCACCCCATGGTGGCTGAGATAGGCTCCAGCACCTCCTGTGTCATTTTATTGGATAAGCAAAAACATATGGATGGATTGATGGTTTACCTTCAATCCATCCATATCCATTACATTCGGATGGTAACAGAAACAAAATAACCTGTTCCTACCCCTTTTTTTTTTTTTTTTTACTCCGTCCACATGTACACGGGTATTTTTGAAAACGGAAATTTTCCGTTTTCGTTTTAAAAAATAATCCCGTCCACACGTAAAGGCAGACGCTGCTAGGAACATGCCAAAGCAGCAGGTGGCGCTATATTCCTAACCGTGTAGAAATGTTGGCCAATCAGAAGTCTAGAAGCCTCGGTGGGAAAAAGTAAACAAAGCTGGGGCATAGAAGCAGAACCGAGTCGTATGTGTGGAGGGACAGTAACTGTGTGCATATGTAAGCATTTAAACACTGCAGAGAGTAGAATTAACAGTATTGTAGAAATTCATTTCACCTAAACAATAACGTGGCGCACACTGTGACGTCAAAAAAGGCGCACATTTTTGACGCTGCGTTTGTCCACACGTAAATGCAAAAACGGAGTTTTAGAAAATATCCACCCTGGCCGGAGTTTTTAAAAATCTCCGTTTTCAGTGACCAAAAACGCCGTTTACGTGTGGACGAAAGGTGCAAACGCATAGAAAAATCTCCCGTCTACAAGGCGTTTTCCCCGAAGGAAAACGCAGCGTTTTGAAAATGAATAAATTTGAAGACGGTGCTTTCGCGTCGCAGTGTGGACAGCGAAAAATGAGACCTTGGAAAACAATGACGCATTTTAGTCATGTGATGCAGTCATGTGACCAATTAAACAAAGATAGCGGAGGGCAGCAGTTGTTTTGTTTGCTCTCAATTTCGACAGCCTTATTAAAGATTAATATCAGTTTGTACATGCTTCAGATAGCTTTTCTTCAAATTTGTTAATTCTCACTCGCTTTTGCAACTTTGTACTTTTGTGTTACTCGCAGCAACAACTCCACCTCATCGTTAACCCATTTAAAAACTTGACCTTTCAAAGAGCCGGAAAGTAAATAAGCGGCAGACAGAAATCAGGCAGGCCGAATCGTCTTGCGTTTCACGCATGCGCAGTACTGGAACGTAAGTGTTTTCGGCCGTTTCAATGTGGATGCACAACTCTATCCGGGCTAGTGTGGACGTAGCCTTTATTTCACCTTAGTTAATATACTTATTTGTTAAAAATATTTTACATTAAACATTGTAACAAATTGAGCTTAATTGTATCTCCAAACTAGCCAAGGAGTGGAAGTCCTTTTAGTCAGCTGTTATCATCCGTAATAGAATTTCATATAGTCACAGTATTTAAGTTGTTTTAGTCTGGATACTGTTCTGCTGCCCGTGCAAGCCACTTTGCAACCCACCTATTGCCCACTCCCTCCTTTTCCTGTTATTTCTAACTCATTCAGTGGCCTGCGTGCTGTTATTTATGTCTGCAGTGTTCTTTACTGTTCTTGCTGTTGCTCTTTCCACACCAGAGTTTCCAGATATGAGGGGAAAGGTGCTGAGGTTCCCAGGGCAGAATTAGAGAAAAAAATGACTGCAGATGGAAAAACAATCCTGTAATCACTTAAGTGTCTGTCTTACAGTGTCTGCTCATTTACCTACATCCCTATGGGTGCAGAAAGGGAAAGGTTAAAATGAAGCATTGTTAAACTGTCTTTTCCAGGTGCTTGCCTCTTGTTTATACAGACCTGGAGCGAGACTTTTTACTAAAATTTGTGTGGCTGCATTAATAAAACCAAGTAATACAAAAGTATCTCAGAGTTCACTGTAGATCTAATCCTCCAGTTTAAGCTTAAAGATGAAAATCTACCCACATTGTTAGATGGCAACAGTAATATTCCCAGCTATAACACGTGTAAGAGCGCGCAGTCACACACGTAATGTTTACCTGTTCCTCTGTGTGTATTTGCACTGTCACCTGTACCTGCTCTGGGTGAGGAGAAGTTCACTGGAAACAGCGCCTCGCAGCTCAGCCCTGTTTGTCTTGCCGATGCAAAAACATTACACAGTGATACCGGCGTGTGCACTGTTGACACTTTGTATCAACCGAGGAAGAGCGTATTTACTGTTGAAAGTTATCAGACCTGTCCGACCGTTCTCAGAAACCTTCTTCTACCAACCCCCACCCCCCACACACACACATCCACTGCTAACGCAAGCAGAGTTTAACATAATAGCAAAGCGTTTTTTTTTGTGCATTTTTCCTGAAGGCTTCCTTGTATAATGTTACCCAATACCCTCGTCTAATCTGAGTCAGCTTTCTAACCTCATTCTCCAGAGATAAATATCTCATGTCCCCTGTGCTTCCAGCGTGCAATTTAAATGAAGTCGATGATGGTTTGAAGCATCTTTTCATTCATTTCCTCTCCTCTCAGGAGCGCATCAGCCACCTGGAAGAAGACCTTTGTGATGAGCGCGGCAGTGCTGACCGCTTGATGGAGCGATTAGACAAAACCAAGGAGCAGGCAGGTTTACTCCCTTGTTGTCTTTGCTGTTTTTTTGTGTGTGTGTTTTTTTTTCCAGATGAAGCTCACATTTTGCATTTTTCTAATGCTCATAAATTTCCCTCCACAAAAACAACAACCTACCAGTGATAGATTTATTGCCTGTCTCAATTTTGGACCCTCAGCTCTGTTTTGATCATAAACAGATGTTGAGCTGAGAGCTCAGATTTCTCTGCAAACACCCAAAGCTGCTGATGTTTCTGAGCTGCGCGTAAAACAAGTTTGTTTTGTTGTTTCGTCTGGTCATTAATCATGCTTCTTCACCGCTTCCTCATCTTCAGTGTGCTTTTAATGCTGGCCTACGTTTAGGGGAGCAAAGTAGTACACAGTAGGTGACACAAAATGCTCTTTTGGTTAAACTACTAAGCCCCCCACCCCCACTCCCCACTCCCTGCTCCCCCAAAAAACAGCTAACTATTGTGAGCAAGTATTCACACTCCCTCCTCTGGGCCTCTGGATGTTATTAGTGAGGAGAGCCTTCAGATCCGATGTGTCCGCTCAGACTGGACTGAATTTCCTCTGTTTTTATGGAAACCTTTTATTTAAACTGAAAGTTTGTAATAACACATGGTCTTGTTTGCAGTCAGTATTGAAGAGAATGCATGTGAACGGAAAGCAAGTTGTGAGGTTTAGTGTTAAAGGAGAACCCTTGTGCACATTTCTAGTGCCTTATATTCCTTTTAAATCAATGTTTCTTGCATTATTCAAAGGTTACCCTGCAATTTATACTTTGTCCTCCATCTCTTTAAGCGAACTTTCCTCTGATTGGCTGCCCATCACAAACAAAACGTTTGAACGGTAGGAGGTAGATGCGTCTGTCCTCACAGCCTCCGGGCAACTCTGTGCATCTGAGATGCCTTTGTGTCTCTAAGCAAGAATATCAGTTTCTTTGACGTCACATTGAACCAACAGGGAAAAAAACACCTCAAACTGAGTGTTTAGAGAAAATAAGTAAAAGTCTACTTTCAGGGGGAAAACATATGAAGTACAAGCTCAGCAAATAATAAATTAGTAGTTCAGTGTCCATATGTCCCAGCTGTATTTCTTATGTGCGATGTTATGCAGTACATGTATAATGGATAATAAAAACTATGTTTCTCTCTGCATTAACAGATGGATCAGATGCGGAATGAACTGATGCAGGAGAGATCTGCCAGGCAGGATCTGGAGTGCGATAAGATAAGCCTGGAGAGGCAGGTAATTATCCCTAACCCCCCAACACCAGACAGCTAAACAGAGTGAAATCATTTCTGGAGAAGAAAAAATCTTAAGGTGGAGTCAATGTGATGCAAGAGACTGCTGCTGAAAAATGAGGGTTAAGATCCAAGTTAGATACTCAGCTCTTTTAAGCTTTTGCTTTTAAATAATAACCAAAATCAAGTGAAATACTTATGTAAATGCATGTGGAATAAAATCAGCATGGCGTTCAAATTGTAAGATTCATGTTCAATATCAGCATTGATGTTAATGGTGTTAATGGAAACCTGCTCAAAGGTGCCCTGCAGAGTTTTTTTTTTTTAATTTCTTGTAAAGATACAAAAAGGTTCAGCTTACTCTCAGCATTGCTCACCAAACTGTATTGCTTACATGCTTGAGGGTTAACAACTGTGCAAACTTTTGCAAAGCTTGTTTTTTCCTACTTTGTTTAATAGACCATTGCCTCCCCCCTTTGGATCCGTGGAATAACAACCTCAAGCTCTAACATTCTTGTGCAAGAAGCAAACTAAACTGCGACCACCCTGAGAAACTACTGCTTCATGTTGCTATTACAGATTTTTTTTTTTTTTTAAAAGCTAAAATTCTTCATCGTATTCTCTCTGGCAGAATAAGGACCTTAAAAGCAGAGTGGCTCATCTGGAAGGTTCACAGAAGAGCAACCAGGACTCACTCGTCTCCAAGCTCAACATCCGCATCCAGGAGCTGGAGGAGAGGTTGCAAGGAGAAGAGAAGTGAGCAAACACACAGCAAAAAGTGACCTTACTTTAACAACTTCTCATCAGTTTTAGACATTAATATGGGTTAAGGCTGTATGGATCAGTGCAACTACAGAAACTCAGATTCTTGGTCCTGGCTCTCAGTGAGTGGTGGACCCATTTATCACTTGGTTGTAAGAAAAATCATCTCTGGTCTGCACACTAGGAGTGTGTTAAGTTACACAAAGCTGGAGGAAAAAACAGGCACATGATCCCTTGTTGCTTTTGCTCTCAGGGACAACAACAACTTACAACAAGTGAACCGCAGGCTGGAGCGCAAGCTGAAGGAGATGAAAATGCAGGGAGATGAGGAGCGCCTCAACCTGCAGAGCCAGACGGACCAGGTCGACACATCTTTAACCACGAATAAAACCTTGTTATGATGTTCTCTTCAGCAGGCGACTCGACTCGTGATTCTTTATCTCGTTTTTCCCTGAACTCTGCAGCTGACTCAGAGGCTAAAGACGGCAAAGAGGCAGATGGACGAGGCGGAGGAGGAGATCGAGCGTCTGGAACACGCTAAAAAGAAGTTGCAGAGAGAGCTGGATGAGCAGATGGAGGCCAACGAGCAGCTTCACAGCCAGCTGAGTGCAGTGCGGAATGAGATGAGGTGACTGATCGCTCTCTGCCTTTAACATGCCGCTGCACTAAATCACGTCATCACCATCATTTAATGTTTTTGCTTCAACAGGCGGAAGAAGAAGGCCACTCCCCTCACTAAGGTCGCAGAGGACGATGTGAATGACTTGGACGACCTGGGATCTGACTGACCCGTGCTTAAAAAGAATTCAATCTGGAATTTAATGTCACTGTGAACATTTCACAATTGAGTAAAATGTCATTAACAACTCAGGTGTGACTTCCACCTTGAGCTGCATGGCACCTTGCCAATGCTGACCTCTTGTGGCGATATTTATGACTGCATTATCAGACCAACTTGATTATTCTTAATCTCTAATTTATTCTGTTGGTGTATTAATGAATATGACGTGGCGCGAAAGTTCTTAAGATAATAACTAAATGCACTAAAATGCTTTTTTCAACATTCACCAGTGTATATACGCCTCCAGACACTGAAATAAATACAGCTGTGTGACATTTCTGTCAGTCTGAGACCTTGACTTTGAACAAAAAAATGAGAGAAAGCTTAGTTTAAATGTAAAAACAACACAAAACTCGTCTGCTGGTAACCCTCAGCTATGAAACTCTGTCAGAATGGTAGTTGCACGAATGGATCAATGGCCTGCTCTTAATGGCTGAGGCTGTGCAGAGGTGGAGATGTGACTCTAATGAGCTCCAGGGATTCAAAGCGCCTGACAGTTTTGACATCTGTTGGCACGGCGATACATGGAAGTACAAAACAAGAGAAGCATGAGGCAACACTGTGCTCTAAAACATGGAATATTTAAGGAATTTCTGGCAGAATTCCTGGGAACGTTTGTCTTGGTTGTAAGTATTCTTTTCTTTTAGAATGAAACTATTTTTTTTCTCAGAAATCAAACATTGCATCTGCTCGCTTTAGAAGTTCCTATAATTCCTTCAGCTGATTGTTTTATTTCAGTTTGATTAATGATATGTTCCTCTCTGTTTGTCAGCTGTTTGGCTGCGGCTCCGTCGCTCAGACCGTCCTCAGTCGAAACACCCTGGGCGAACCCCTCACCGTCCACATCGGCTTCTCTGTAGGCCTGATGATGGCAGCATATGTGGCCGGTGGAGTTTCAGGTAAATGCCGCTTTTAATGTTGCTCTTATTTAGTTAATTCTTTATTTCTGCTGACATAAAGTTGGCCTCAGATGGGCTGCAAGACCCCAATTAGCTCTGCTTAATTTATGCATGGCCAGCAGAGCTGACACACTTGTGAAGAAAATCAAAGGTAAAAAGTTTTAACATTGTAGTTGTTAAAAGTTTGTTTAGCGTTCTATCTTAACCTCTTAATTTATAGTCAATACAAACCGTCTCTGCCAGAACATATAAAACAATCTGACACAACTCTCTTGTACGTGCTGCTGTAATAAAAACATTGATACTCATGAGGCATGCAGCTTGTAGTATTAAATCTTTATGGCTTCCTGTCCGGCCATGTGCCACCTCCACCAGCTCCGGCATCAACAGGAAGGTGCCAGCTCTCTGTCCAGATCCACCAAATGTGTACTGACCATTGATTTATTAACACAGCCTCTCTGGGGTCGTACATAACCCTGGGCACTAAATGTCCTGCAAACTGCATTGATCATAGGCTACGTTCATCTGTCTATAGCAGAGACCAGACTCAGTCCCAGTGGGAATGCTTACTTCATGTGAGCAGGGGCTGAATTGAATTAAATCAAATCCCCCACCCATAGTATTTCATGAAGAGATATAACAGGCAGGTTTCTCATATATATATATATATATATAGAAACTACCTGGCCTTATTAAAAATAACAACAGAATCTTTTTTGGTTTTTTTTTGAGGTAGTGACCTTTATTCTGCCTCTAAAAAAACAAACCGTGAACCGCCCTGGGGGGCTGCTCCCCTGCTGTTGCCTCTTGTAAATGTGACAGCCTCACTAATGATGGAGAGGATATCAGGCCAGCCACCCACACACACACACACACACACACACACACTGCACCCCTCTTTTACTCTGTGCTTTGTCCTCTCTCCCAGGGGGCCATGTGAACCCCGCTGTGTCTTTGGCCATGGTAATTTTGGGCAAACTGAAGATCTGGAAGTTTCCTTTCTACGTCATCGCTCAGTTTCTTGGTGCTTTTGCAGGAGCTGCTGCAGTCTTTGGATTATACTATGGTGAAGCCTCCTTTGCATATGTATATAAAGTCATAACAAGTGTTATGTAAAGAAGTAATTAAGTGCACAACACTCAGCTGCCGCTGTGAGAATATTTTAACCCTGGGTTTGACTGCACAAGATAGAAATGGATCCCTGTGACTTGTTGCAGTTATGTCAGATGTCTCTTTGTGCTCCTCACAGATGCCTTCATGGACTTCACCAGTGGGATTCTGTCAGTGACGGGTATCAATGCAACGGGCCACATTTTTGCCTCATACCCCGGCAGACACCTGTCAGTCCTCGGCGGCTTCATTGATCAGGCAAGCTCTAGTCGCGGTGAACCACTGACCTCCGCTCTCTTTCTGCCTCTAAATACTGTAAAGTCTGGCCAATGTGGCTAATGCAGAATCGATCGGCCTATTTAGTCTGAGAACACCCCCTTTTCGGCTCACTTTTGGCCCTAATGTCCATTTCCTGGTACTCTGCAGAAGGTCAAATTTACTTAACGCCATTTCCAGTCTGTTTATTTGTTGCAGCAATACAAAATTAACACGTCTGCTTGTGTTTCCAAAGATGGTGGAAACCACAGCAGGTAAAGCGCTGCGATAAGTCTGCTTAGTGCGACTGTGTTTATGCAAATGTTATTTTCATTCTCATGCTCAGAGGACAAGTACGATTTGAGTCAGAGTGAATCATCTGCGCAGGGATCAGAGTTAAGACGTTGCAAATGTGATTTAAATGCACCCAGATCACTATACACATTAACTGGACATATTTTATTCATTTGTATTCAGATGTTTTCAGTTAGAAAAATATAGTTATTTTATAATAGAAGTTTGAAGAAATTCACATGATGGCATATTATATGACTGTGAAGTAAACAAATGGCTTAGTTACTTCAAATTGCACAAAAATCCCTCAAAAAAATGACATGAAATGAGTTAATGAATATATTAATATGTGCACTGGTCCGCGTTATAGAACATTAAACAAAGAAACAATATATAAACAATATATATCTAATATATCAAATAAAAACTACAGCTGAGTTGTGCTCAGCGTTTAGACTGTATCCATGGCTTATGTCTTTATTATGATGTGCGTTGTGAATTTAATAGTCTGATGGCAGATGGGTAAAAGCTGTCACTGGGAAACTGCTGCTCCATGTAGTATATTATTGTTGGGATGTTACCAGCGTTTATCAAAGCTACACAGCCAAACTCATCCATTAATCAGAGGCTTGCTGTTCCTCTCTCGAAGGTGGTGGGAACAGGTATGCTGGTTCTGTGCATTCTTGCTATCATCGACGGCGGAAACATCGGAGCTCCTAAAGGCGTCGAGCCGCTGGCCATCGGCCTGATCATCATGGCCATCGGCGTGTCCATGGGGCTGAACTGTGGCTACCCCCTGAACCCAGCCAGAGACCTGGGACCCAGACTGTTCACAGCTGTGGCAGGATGGGGGATGGAGGTCTTCAGGTAGGTGGAGTCGAATCACATATAGATGATTATATGATGATGATGGGTGGGCAGTTTGGCCATTAGGTGAAAAAGTCTAAACGTGGTATTATTATTAAAATGCGTGGAATATGTAACTTCTGAAGGATAGATCATTAATGTATACAAATAAACTCTATGCATCACATACTAAATGTGGACTTATGTAGTAACTTTATTTGATGATCTCTTACTTACAAAATAATTTTGCAGTTATAAACATGTGGACACATTCTGTGAAATGAAAATGTAAATACAGACATATCTCCCTGCCTCTCTTCAAATCTTTCATTGAGCTATTTATCGAAGTGAGCCCGTGCTGGTGACACGTGTTACATAATGTCACATGCGCTCGACAGATGCAGTCGATGCTTGTGCATGATCCGATGGAGGCACCGACGATCAACAGCTGACTCTTTTTTCTCCCACTGGTGTTTTTGACTCTTCCTTCCTGTTTCCCTTTTCTCTGCACGCAGCACCGCAGACAACTGGTGGTGGATCCCAGTGGCGGGACCGATGGTGGGGGGAGTGGTCGCGGCCGTCATATACTACCTGTTCATTGAGCTGCACCACCCCCACGTCGAGCACGAGAAGCCCCAGGAGGAAGAGGAGGAGGACGAGGAAGACGAAGAGGATGATGACAGCAGTCTGAAGGACAAATATGAGATGATCACGATGAGTTAAGAAGACTTTCACCTTCAGGACTGAGCGCTTTTACTGTCAGTCAGATGAACACCAGCGCAGCTTCCATCTGTAAGGACAGGATCCATGTGTCAGTGGCATCTCATTGGTATAGGCTGTAGTTATACTTCAAGCTTTTTTCAGCCCGATACACTACCAAAGACCTCCATGGGTCTAAATAAAAATAAAATATATTTGGAAATGTTCTGAAAACACAGAATAACTTTTGCTCGATTGCCTGTTGTTGCATTTTTCATAAACTCATGGAAATCTCAGTCCTGTGTATTTGAGATCATTACATAAATATTAGCAGCATACGTGTTGTAAATACCATTTTGTATATACATAAAAATTCTCCTTTTTTGCATATACTAAAAATAGAATATTAGTTCTGCATGCTTGCAAGTTCCCTGTTACATTTCTTTGTGTTTTTCTCAGTGGTTGTCGTGATATTTGCGTATTAACTTCAAACTTTTTGTGCTTGTTTTGACTTTTTGCAAAACTCTCTTACTCACTTTTGTTTGTCGACATTAAAGTTTCTACAAGTTGCAACTTCTCCTAAGATTTTTCTCTTCACCGCTCTGCTTCATTTGTAATAGAAAACTGCACATCAACCTAAAATGCGACGAGATGCTCGGTTGATGTAAACATTCTCATCTCATACGAGCAGTTTGTAAATTGCTCCACAGACGAAGTATGTCCTGTAGAATGTCATCGCTCCAGCTAATGTCCCCAATGCAGATAAAGGAGCTGAGACTCAGTGGGTTGTCTGATTTTACTTCCACCAGGAACCTCAGGTGGCAACTTCAAAGCTGCAGAATTGTTAGAAAAGTCAAATATGATGGGATGATAAGACTTAAAAGTGAGAAGCTTCATCATTGTTTCATCTGGGGGATTCTCACCTTTGAGTTAAAATAAGAATATCAAAAGAATTATTTTAAGTGGATTGGATATGGATTGAATTCTAGTTCTGATAATGTTCATGAAAACCCATGTTAAATAAGAGCTGTGAAGTGGAGAAAAACAAAACAAAAAACCTTGTTCCAAGTTCTCTAACTTGACGAGTGCTCCTGTATAACATGTGGAAAAGAAGCTACAAAATTTGAGAATAATGTAACATCCAAACAGGATAAATTTAATTCAAAGTCTCCGTTAGCTCAGTTAGCCATGCTTTTTTTTAAGGTTTTCCAAAATAAAAAAGAAAAGTAGTAAGCTAGTAGTAAGCAGCTGTAGCACAAACATGTTGTTGGGCTACCTGCTTCATTCCTTCAGCATTCCAAGAATAGTTAGAAGTGAGTCAGATTTAATGTTAAGTTCCATTATATTGAAAAAATATTTTGGATATTTCCAACAGAAATCGGTGTAAATTTAGGCCCTTATATCTCAGAGTCTCGGTACGTGCCTCTTAAATCTAGCAGAGTAAAAGCACATAGGCATATGAAACAAGTACAAGTAACTCAAAACTCTGTGAGTAAATGGATCATTATTTACAGTCCATCTGGCTTCATACAGCAGTTCAACAGTAACACTAGCAGAGAGACAGCAACAATCAGGGGACAAACAAATACTAATACTAAATTAGCTGATATATAATCTTATTCTAAGCTGGGGAGCAGCTACAGAGGACAGAGTGGGCAGTTTGTAGACGGACATGAAGATACATGTGCAGGTACATGTGATTCTTGCTTCTTGTCTTTCATCCCTTTTTCAGGCTTTGAATAATGTGGGGTGACGGTAAAAGAACTGGGTCTGGGGATTTTCCATGTACACAAGTAACCAAGACTAATGACTAAACCCCTCAGACTGACTGAGTGTAGGAGAACTGAAAATCCTCTGGCTGCTGGACAACGAAACAAGCATTCATTCTGCGCAGGTTCTTTGTTTGTGCTGCAGCCTTCATGGTGAGCAGAGCCTTGCTGCCGCTCAGTCCACAAGTGCCCGTTTTACAGTCGTGCTTTTGTCACTGCAAGGAGAAACAAAAGGCACACTGCTTGCTGATCGGCTGTGACATCAGCTCCTTGCAGAGAGCTGGAACTGTAAATGCAGAATATTGATAATATCCTCTGTGTTACGCTGTTTCAGATGTAGACATAGATGTGGGAGCTGTGGGGGAATTGTATGAGAATAGATCACAAAATCAGTACATATTCAATCACTGGTGTAAACGTACTGGAATATAAATGAGACACAAAATACTAAACCTCATCCCTTGTTCCTGGATTTAATAAAATCGTGTTTACAACCAGCAACTGTAGCCGAAGAAATGCGCAGAGAATCGATAGCGGGCCACATTCCCCTGCATGTGCAAATGCATGCTCCCTGGATTTTACTTACTTTTTTTTATGGGTGTTACATCATTGAATGCACTCATGGAGCAAAGTGATCAATAAGTATAGGCAATAAATAATATAGTGCGTAACACACATGTGGAAGACACGAGCAGGCGTGTGGCGGAGACAGAATAAAAGCTTTTGATCAGCTGCTTTTTCCTTCCAACAAATGTATTCAAATAAATAAAAAAAATTATATCTGAGAGCAGGCAGCAATGAGTGTTGGATTGTGTGTCCTCCTGAAACAAAACATATATAAAGCTGTGCGCGTGTCTCTGTGTTGCTGATGCTGGTGACTCACAGGCTGCTAGGAAACCAGCAGCACCAGCATGGTCTCTGAAGCAGCTGCGCCCTCTGCTGTGAGCCTCACGCTACTGCATTTATCACAGTAAACAATGTTCACTCCAATGGTACTGTAATTTTTACAACAGGTTCTCATCCCAACCACATCAGGGGCGCCACCAAGGGGTGGGCAGTTGCCCCCCCTCCCCCAACTGCATTAATTCTGCGCATCCAGTGCAGGTTCTTTGTTTGTGCTGCAGCCTTTATGGTGAGCAGAGCCTTGCTACTGCTTAGTCCACAAGTGCTAAGTTTAACTAAGTTTAATTAATGCTAATTTGTTATTAAGGGGCCCAGAGTATGCCAAGGAAATATCCCCCACAGCATAACACCAGCAGCAGCCTGAACTGTTAATCCAAAGCAGGATCCACACTTTCGTGCTGTTTACATCCCATTTTATTGTCTGAAATTGCGCAGACCAGGCAACATCTTTCCAGTTTTCCACTGTATAATTTTGTTGATCTTGTTTGAATTGTTGACTCAGTTTTCAGCTGGAGTGATCTTCTGCTGCTATAGCCCATCTACTTCAAGGTTCGATGTGTTGTGCATTCAGAGATGGTCTTCTGCATACCTTGGTTGTAAAGAAATGATCCTCCCTTTTTTCTTTTTCATTCTCTGTAAATCCTACAGATGTCTATGTGTCATTGCTCAGGGCTGAAATATCAGCCTGTCTGGCACAAACAACCACGCCACATTCAAAGTCGCTTAAATCATCTTTTTCTAGCCATTCTGATGCCCAGTTTGATCTCTGGCAGGTTGTCTTGACCTTGTCAACATTCCTGCACTGAATTGCAGGCACGTGACTGGCTGATTGCATATTGTGTTGACCACTTGAACAGGTGTACTTAACAACGTGGACAACAATTTTGCAAGTTTAACTTTTAACTGCTGTAAAAGGATTTCTTATTTTATTAGCGGTGTGTAGATGTTCGCTTCACTAACAGAGTATCACACAGATTGGAGTGGGATGATGCTTTTCCTCAGCAGTGCTCGTATTAGAACATAGAAAAACAGTTTGGTAAAAATAAAAATAAATAAATAAAAAAATAAAAAAAATCACAAGATCTAATAACTTCACATCGATCTCTTACATTCTCCCCAAACGCAACTTTTTCCACAAACAAAATCAGCATCTTTCAAACACCATGACACCAGTCTGTATTGCAAGCTTTCCATTTATTTCAAGCCCAATGCAAATGACGGTTCATGTGTTAAATCAGGGGGAGTGGCCCTTTAAACATCTGGCTGCACAGTCCTCAGAACAAACTGCTTCACACGGAGAGAAAAAGCCAGAGCACGCACACATTTACAGACAGCAAACAGGGGTCTATTTTATTTTGAATGAGTCTTTTAATTAATGCATTTCAAGTACTCCAAAAAATTACATCTCTTTGCACAATACAATTTGAATTTTTTTTTTTGTTGTTTTTTTTTTAGTAAAAATGTTCAAAGTGAACAAAAATTTCCGATACTGTATAAAACACAGTGAACATTAAAATCAGACAGTAGTATTACTTTTTAATCATGTGTTCTTTCGGCCTACGTCACCTACAACATTTTCAACTCAATTTGGACATTTTTCAGTGCACGTTTATTTAAAAACTTTACCAAGACTACGAAATTAAAAAGAAAGGAAATTTACAGGCATTATTCTTCTGCTCTTCTACCCAAACCATGCCACAGGATAACAAAGACAAAAATGAGAATGTAACATTGACTCCATCACACTGAATTGTTTTTAAGCATTGATGACGGTGGAGAAAAGTATCGTAAGCAAACTCCAGTTCAACTAGCACATATAAGAACAGAAAATAACTTAGAAGAGAGGAAAGTTTGTCACATATGAACATCTTTAAAACAACTTACTCTGGAATTAGGATACAAAAAAGAAATTAAACCGATGTATCAAAAATGTAATTCTCATTTTTCAAATGAAACGCAAATTTTATTCGATTTTTTTCCCAAGTACTGTACAAGTTTACAGGTTCAGTTCTCCGGGCCCTGACAGGTGAGACGTGGCTCAGGAGATCAGATTTAAAAAGAGCTCAATTTTTGTACAGAGAAAAGGAAAAACAAAACAAAAAAACAAAAAACACCCCGTCGACCCGCTCGATTCATCTGCCGCGTGAACGGAAAACCGTGAGGTGTCATTATGTTTGTCGCGTCCCCTCCAGAGCACATGTGTGGCTGTAATGACCAGATAGATATTAGTTATGATTAGTACCGCATGCATTTAAAGTATAGCCATAATGCCACGATAAAAATGAAGTCAGAGCACAGAAAGTCCTCCCACAGCATTTAATGCAAAAAAAAATTAAAAAATCTGCAACGCGTCGTTGCTGGAGCATCCCGTCGGGCCAAATGTCTGCCTGGTAAATGAAATGACAGGACTTTAACACACTATGTCATGATTACATGATCAAATCCTTCCAGTGAGTGTTGTGATTAACTTGGTTTTCCAAGATGCCCCTTTGGTGCAGCGAAGAGAGGAAGAAAACACCTGAGGTCGAATCGCACAGCCTTCATTTCATTCTCTTTAAAGTGGAAACCTCGCAGGTGCTTCCTGGATTTTAGGAAAACCTGTGCACTGCTCCGTAAAAGTTCTATGGCACGCTCATGTAAACTCTGAGGCCTGCACTCATGAGCTCTTAAGGGGAATTCAGTCCTTGAGATGAGAGATTGGACCAGAAGCTCGTTTGCCGTGGAAGCAGTGACCCCGCTGAGGGACGTGTTGGTGAATAAATGTGACAACACTGCTGCGTTACACCGCTCGCTCCGGGGCCCCAAAGTAAATCGTGTTGAGTGACATACAAACATTACAAACCTTGGTCAATTAATAGTCACATTTAATAAATGTGTCTGCATGCCCACATTAAAAACTTCTTAGTTTCGCTATCTGAAGAATAATAGAATGATTCCATCTTTTTTTTTTAAGTCATTTTTAAAATTTATTTCCACACTCATGTAAACTAACTCTGTAACATGATACACTCTCACTTCTACACTACGCCACAGCAGCCTTCACTCTTCACCTCGACTTCATATCTGAACAGGCAGGATCAACATCAGCTTCAGTTAGTGGTTATTCGTTCTTCATTATTATTAAAAACAAACAAAGAAACAAACAAACAGACAGTAAACGGTTGCACCAAACTAGGCGATTTCTCCTTCTGTTTCTGACCTCGTCCAGTTTGTTGTACAACAGGGGCAAGACATGATGTTAGCGAGACAATTTAAAAAAAAAAAAAAGGTGAAATAAAGGGACCTTGAACAGAGAAGGCCTAAAACGTGGGATATGGCGACCTTGTTGTTCAAAGAAAAGCAAATCAAAACCTAGCGAGTTCATGAAAGTGAGAGAGATCCACCTGATTGGACTGCTGAGAGAACTCGATGGCGTCAAATCCTCAATGGCAGCATCCAAGGAACTCACCACAACTGTCATTCTTTCATTTATGTGTTAAGAATCCTGAGAGCACTAACCAAAAAATTAAAGAAAACAAAAAAAAAAATAAAAATGAAGAATTACACATTTACAGTAGAAGAAATAGTTTGTTTTCACTTATGATACACTAAATATTTACAATCACATGCAGAAGACCGTCTGCACGAGAGACCGGAGCCTGTGTCTTTTGCCGTTTGACATGTGTGAAATCACAAAAGTGCCGCAAATCCCCACTGAGTGTCTCTCATTCCTGGCTAAGATGACAAAAACAAAAGAACGAAAAAAAAAAAAAAAAAAAGAGTTCACCAGCAGCTACGAGCCTGTCACTCAAGAAGATGTTGCAGATGAAGAAAAAAGAAAAACAAAACAAACCACAGAATGAACTAAAGCTACAAATGATTCCTTAACTCCTTGGCACTCCTTAAAGAAAAAAAAAAGAAAAAACGATGGGGAAAAAAAATTTGCTAGATCGCACTGCAGTGGAAATGGCTGATGGTCAAGTCCCCTCCACAAAGAGCCAATCGAGTTGCTGAATAGCGTTTTCTCTTTTTCGCGTGTCTTGTTTTGTCTGTAGTTGGAGGATATGATGATGACTAACAACCATGTCAGGCGTTTCTTTGGATGGAGTGACGCTTTTGTTTCCCTCTGTAGGCACAAGGAGGAGCCAAGGCATTGGGGGGGGAGCAGGGGGAGCTGGGTGCAGGGTCTCAGCGTCTCATCTGGCCCATCTGATAGTTCTCTCTGGGCTGACGGTGGTGCCTCTGGGGCTGTGCCTGGCGCTGAGGCTGCCTCTGTGCCTGCCGCTGGCCGCCGTGGCCCCCGTGTCCGCTGTGGCCGTGCGGGTGCTGGGACTGATGCTGCACCTGAGAGCTAGCATGCTGCTGCGCTCGTCGTCTTTTCAAAGTCCCTGTCAGAGGAAAGAGAGTTAACTTAGGCTCAAGAAAGACGAGTATCGTCCTAGATTTGTTTTGTTCAGCTGCAGCACTTGTTCCTAAGCTGGTGGTCTTGCAGTGTGATGAAGGATGACGTGTTTATCTCACATCTGTCATCTCTCATGTAGGGAAACTCAAAAAATCACAAAGTATCAGCAGCTGTTCTTTCACAGCGGACAAAGAGTGACCCCTGCAAGTGAACGAGCCTACCTTGCATCGCATTCATCTTACTGGATGATGTCATTTATGACCCCGCGGTACTGAAGGAATTTATTAAATCAGACCCCAATGTGAGGTTTATGCCATGGCTGTACTAAATTAGCAGCATTAGTAATTACCTAATTAGTTTTCTCATGTTTCTGTAATGTTTAATCCACCAGTACTGAATGTTAAACTTGACCAATTTCTGACTTCTTAGAAAAGTCCAAGTTCAGATATAAAAACGTTCAGTGAATTCAGTCATTTTTATTTTGAAGGAGATTTCAGATTCAGATTAACTTTATTATTCCCCCAAAAAGGGTAATTTGTTCGCAGCTTACTCACACAACCACTTATCACCAACACTGTTGCATGTCAACGCAGCGATTGACAACAATGAGGTCCAAAAATAAAAATGTATAACAACGTCTTTTGCCTTCTTTATCACCTGATTTTCCCAGAGTGAGCACAAATCTGATCCCAGTGATTTTGGAGGTGTTAACATTATGACAGAGTTTCCATCCTTAACAGGCAAAATACTGAACTAGCAGATAAAAGAAGATGTTAAAAGACTTTCAATAAACAAACAATAAAAGTTACACAAAAATAAACCTGTTCTCGCACGGCGTCCTGCAGCTGTCGGCGTACGTAATAAAAAGAAGGGGTGACAGAGCACAGCCCCGAGGTCAACAGGAGCTTGACACAATCCTACTGGATATTTGTCCATTAACGAGGACCTGTTGGACTCTTTCAGTGAGAAAGTTTAAAATCAGCACCAGGAGCTAATCTAAAAGTTTAAAAAGAGTCTCATTAAAAGCAGAGGAGAAATCAGCAAACAGAAGTCTTGCGTGAAGTGCTTATAGACTGTGTTTAACATAAAGTTTGACAGATTTTTTTTTTGAATATTTGTGCTTTTTTGTATTTATGACAGGTGGTCCAATAAAAGTGTTAAACAATGTTTATTAGAGCCTGACTGAAAATACTATAGAAAGAGTACAAAAATGGCAAAAACCAACATAAACTTCCTATATATGTGTAAGATACAAGCAATCAAAGTGTTTGATGTGTGCATTTTTCCTCTGTAGGCTTCAACCCTGAACCCGTATCTGGTAATCAAAGGTTTGAAAACCCTTGTTCTTAACAATCAAGTAAAGACATTGTCCAAAGTTGGTCTTTCTCACATGTAGGACACAGCAGGAGATACGGAGGCAGAACACCCACACACACTCTCTCTGTTAGCTCATACTGACAGACTTACGATTTATTTTATTTACTGTCAGCGGTTAGCTTTGCTGTCCAAGACTTCAAGAAACCACCTGCCATTAACTGTAGCAGAAAGAAGCTAATTGTAAACAAGCTAGAGGGACCGATCTGTGGTCCTTTGATCTAGAAAAATAAACGGTTGCACGTAGGCTGGAAGATCAGCACTCAAGTGGAGCCGAGCAAAACCCCATTCTGACTGCAGACGTCAACAACTTTAGGAAAGTTGGGCTGCTAATGTTATCAACGTGTAGCATGTGTGTACAACATGCCAAAAAACAGCAACTTGCAAAAATACTCTTAACAAAGAAAATGTCATTAAACTGCTCTTAAATACATGCAAACATTTTGTACTGATGTTACATCACCTTACCCATTACACTCTGCTTAATTTGAATATGCCTTTTAGAATATTCAACTACACTTTCTTCTTCTCTCACATTTAAACAAGTAGATCGGTTGCCATGACCACCCTTAGACTCAACAGCACAGGATGCAGTGAGAAAACCAAAGTCATGTAGAGAAACTCTAGGAGTAAGTAATCATAACACTGCTCTCATTCACAGGTATGACTGCAAGGTTAACAAGGCACACAGTACAGTGGATTTAATGTGATGCTTTTTCGCCTGTGTGAACATTCAAAGCTCGATCTGAGTTTAATCTGGATCAAGTTTAGGAGCTCAGATCAAATCTGTAAGTGTTCTCAGGAAACTGTTCTCACAGCACTGCCCATATAAATTGTTAATAAGCCCGTAAATGATAACATGAACTGCATGATTAATTTTACTTTACAGCCTGATAATAAATAGGTTTTTAAAAATATATCTGTATTTTTATTCATTTGTGTCCCTGTAGTGTAGTGGTTTACACACTCTTTTAGCAAGCAAAAGCTCCCCAGTTTGATCGCGGGAGGAGACACAGCGAGGGCATCCGACGTAAAAATCTGCCAAATCAAACATGCGGAGCTACCCGCTGTGACAACCCGTTGTGAAAAAGGCAGGAGCTAAAAGTAGCTTTCATATTTACTGTAATCAGAGTGTCCTCGTAAAAGAGAGCTTTCTCTCGGTGGTTTGACCTGCCTGAATAAAAATGATATTTAACCCTCTCCCCCACCCCCAAAAAACACTGAATGTCACATTCAATTTTAAAGGAGGTTTGAAAGCAAACTGCAGACATGTGACTTAAAACATCTGGGTGGTCAGGTAAGTTATCTGAAAATCTTTCATGAAAATGCGTAACAGCTAAACGCTCTTATTAGACGAGGTCTCTTTTTAGTCTTCTGGACTCACCTGGAAGTGGTTTGGGTGGTGGAAGTTTGGGGTTGCTGCTGGGAGTATGCACACTACAGATCTTAATGAAACCAGCCATAAGCAAGATGAGGGCGATACCCATCAAGAGCACTGCCCACCAGTAAGCCTGGGATGAAAATGAAGCTCAAATCAAGCTCAATCAAATACAGAATAGAAAAAGACCCCCCACATACTAACTAATCATTCACAATCAAGATGTCGACACGTACCACAATCCACTCGGCGATGTTCTCATACAGCTCAGGGTTAAAGATGGCCTTCTTTAGTCTGGCAAGTGGCCCATCTGCGTCCACCAATCGGCACTTCATGAACACATCGCAGTAGCCCTTAAAGTCATTGCAAGGCGAGCCAGCTGGCAACGTGGTGACTTTTTTATTGAAGAAACGAGCCAGGCGCTCTGATCCTGTGCTGCTGCATGTGCTGGGATTTGCTGTGCAGAGAGACAAATCCAGTTTTAAAAAAAGAAGAAAAAAAAGAAGAAGACAAAACTCACCCGTATATTTATAAAAGAAAGAGCCTGCTTGTAAAAGGTGTGAGAAAGGGTAAATGACTCACTTTTCTCCATGCAGCACACGTGGCAAAGCTCGGTCTCATCCTTGCCATCTTGGCTGGCACAGGTACACGCCTCGAGCCCGTACTTCTCACAGATGGAGCCGGAGCAGCCCTGCGGAGGAGGAGCACGAGGACAGGCGAGATCAGACACTTGCTAGTATGAGTACAGTGTTGCTATGACAACCAGTTCTTCAAGGTGTGATTTCTTCAGCCACTCACCCCGTTGAGGCAGACTTGAGTCTCTCCGTGGCAGGCGGTGAAGTTGGCCTTGGGCTCCGACGTGGGGCACTGGGCGCTGTCGCCCTTACACACGCCATGGTGAGCGCACTCCGACTCCTCTCGGCACTTGTCACCGCGAGCCTTGTAAATGCATTCGCTTGTACAACAAGGACCCTGGCTGGGACTTTTTGGGGAAGAGAAAAGCGCCGAGTTAAGACTCAAAACATGAGAACACCCTCTTTAAGAGATATTAAAATAACTGAAAAATAAAAATCGCCATCTACCTGCAGACTGTATGGTCCTTTAATGTGCACTTCTTGTTGTCAGGCTGGTTGGCATCATGGCAGCACTTGTCCTTGCACTGATCGCTGTAGCCACAATCGCACTGCTCACCAGGCTCCACCATACCATTACCACAGATGGGCTGGCCAGACTCTGTTTTGAAAAAAAGAAAAAAGTGTTGAGCCCTTTGCGGAGCAAGCTCAAAGTTTAAATTAGACATTTATTAAATAATATCAGGGTTTTTATGAATTACAGACTTTTTGATGCTCTGTAGAAGAAAACCGCCTTCTCCTAGTCAGGTGTGACAATGAAAAATTGTCCCCCAGTTTTTTTCTACATTTACACATTGAGATTTTTGATTGTTTTTACACCAGACGGATAATAATCGTACGAACATTTTGTGCTTTAAAAATATTTTTGGACTCGCCCATTCCTAATGCACCCTTACACAGGATTGTGCAACTTGCTGGACAAATTTGCTGGATTTATTTTTCCGGATCAGACCTCTGCATTTGGCAACAAGTGTAATCGAAGCACAAAATGTGCACCGCTACTGAGTATACAATGATAATATAATAGAAAAATAATACTATTTTATCTTAGACACACAACTAGATTCTGCTCCGGGTCAATCGATCAGATGTGGTCCCAACTCTGCCAACAAGAGTTCAAACTGTCCGACTGACGGTATGTAGGAAAATGGTTGTGATGCAGCTTCAACTCGTGGGTCAAACCATGAAATTCTTCCTGCTGCTGTCTTCTCCTGAGAACTGGATGAACTCAGATTCTTCCTTTTCACATTTACAAACATCAGGACCAACTCGTCATTGCTTGATCATCACTTGATGTCGACTCCATGTTTTGACTCCCATAGTGTGTTTTTTGAGGAGACATTTTTTTGTGTGCAAAATTTTAACAAAATAAAAGTTTGCTTCTTAAAATTTTTAAATTTCATGGGGGTTTTTTTTCCTGCAAAGTGCTTTTTGTGTAAAGGCCTGAACCATTAGAAAAATGCACAAAAATTTCCTTCACTGTGTACACAAATCATGCTGACGGTAGTGGACCCTCATCCCCCAAAGGCTCATTCTGAGCGTGCATGCACACCAAACCCTTGAATGCTGCTCTGGAGAGAATGAGTTGCTGGGGCAAAAAAAGAAAAAGAAAAATAGAAAAGGACCCTTCAAAGAGCTAAAAGCATAAACCCAAAAAAACGTCGGTTTGTGGGTGGGTGTATTAAGGCAGTGTCTGAAAAGCTAAAGCATTTTTCAGTCATATCAGTGCAGCCAAGATGCACATCACTTTGAACAGCTTGTGCAAAACAAGAAGATTTTTCAGACACGCCAATCACATGGTGAATTAATCGAGTGACTTCTGAAGCATCGGTTTGCTGTTCTACTGACTCAAAAGTGTGAAACTGGCAAGAAAAAAAAAAGACAAAGAAAAAAGATGACAAGGTTTACTTCCACAGTCTGCCAAATACTGTACAAAAATACCATGGACTAATGCCAAGCTGGCTTTTCTAAGCTGATACTAGCCAATAACTTCTCAGGATGCCTGAATTCTTTCACTAATTAAGAGTTTGCGGTAAAAATATTCCACACCATCAGAAGAACCCTAACCCGGATCACGAGTTAAGATCGAGGCCCTAGATCCAACAGAAACAGTAAAACGTACCGACGAAGCAGTTGTTCCTCTTTTTTTCCAGCACCTGGCTGATGTTGCGAATGCTGCAGAGGGAGAACTTGTTGTTGTTAAGCTTGTCTCCAGATGTAGCCCTTGCATACATGATATAATTGCCCTTCTCCTTCTTGTCTTGGCTTTTGGATTCCCCTGGTGTGCACTCAGATCCAGAGTCATGCTGGCAGCGAGGAAGAAAAAGAAAATCAAAGATTAAAAGCAAAAAAAAAAAGGGACAAAGAGTACAGGCATCATAAATTCCTTCTCACCGTGCATAAATGCGGCACTCACCGGGGAGCCAAAGTTGTGGCCTACTTCGTGTGCAAAAGTGATATGGGAGACTTTCGGAGGTACGTGGGAGGCGTAGTTCTGTACAGTGATTATACCAGTGTTGAGAGACTTCTTTTTTCCGTCTGAGTACAGCTTGCTTTTTTCACAGATGCCTCCAGAGCTCCCTGAGAAGGAAAGGCACAATTTGCAACAAACTAAATACGGAAAGATTTCGCTCAATGAAGAGAGTGAATGTGATTAATTTAACACCAGCTATTCAAATAAGTGACAGGAGGCCTTATTTAAAAACATACTTCATCATCATGTTTACAGTACATGCTGAAGACAAATTTTGTTTGTCATTACTGAGAGAAGATGCCCATTTTACTGCAGCAAATTTGCAATTTAACTGCAGTGCTTTCAATTAAAAACTCAAATCAACCCCAGTGTAGAGTTAAAACAGACTGCAACAAATATCTGCCGACAGTTTTAAAGAAAAATATGTTCCTGCTTGATGAGCTTCAGTCTACATTTGCGAGGACAAATTCCTGCTAAGGAATGTGAAAAAAAATGATGTTTTTGTACCTTTCTGTAAAAACAAGACACAGACTGCTTGCTTATCACAAGAATAAGATTTGCGTACCTGAGGGCGCTCCCACCCAGGCTAAACCCAGCACCCCATCGTCAAAATCTCTGTCAGTGAAAACATAAGCCAAGCAGTAGTCGTCGTGGTTCTGCTCCGAGTTCAGCTCCAAAAACTTCTCCACACCAATGTTGGCAAAGCGGAATGGGTTGGACTTGTCCCTCTCATCATTGGTGGTGTTTATCTGCGAAGACAGGAGACAGCTGGTTCACAGGAAAGACTGTGAACAGACCTGAAATGCAAAAGCGGCCGATCTGCAAAAGACTCACCCGGATCCGTTTCACCATGAAACTGATGTTACGAATGCCCATGAAGTCTGTGCCTTGATAAATGGCATCAATGGCCTTCACATGACTGGAGATCTGAAGGAGGTACGAGGTATTCATACTTTTAATAGCTGACATTTCACTCAAGTACGCCATATGTGATGGTACAAGTACTAACAAGAGCTGCTTGTACGTAGCTCTATTGCTAACAACAACAGCTAACAGAAACAGTAGGCTAATATCATACATTATTCAACTGGCTATATGTGGTTTTCGCATTAAAAAAAAAATCAAAAAAAAAAATCAGGGTTTATGCCAGGCGTGGCACTGACCTAGGACATTACCCATGCGGTGGCTTGTCAAATGACACTGTACGACAACACCGACATCAAACTGACGTCACATCTGCTGTCGCAAGCAGCCATTTCTGCAACTCTTTATTTTTGTAACCTGACGCATTGTTCCACTGCCACCGGGTTGAAGAGGCAAGTTTACGATCGTGTAGGTTTATACCACTGTTTTAATGACATATCAATACAGAATCTCTGACAGTCACAGATCGATGAGAGGGAGATGGTACAAGAATAAACTTTCTGATAATAAACAAACCTAAAAGAACAAACAGACGCTAAATAATTAAATCAATAGATAGATAGACAATTTCTATGCTTCCACTTTTGACTTCTTCTATATCAGCACTGATGTGGAGGTATTGTCTGACACCTGCGACACCTATCGTTCAGGAGAATACCGCGCGCATAAAAGGATCATGTAATCAAGGTTATACTGGGGGCTTTAAGCTGGTGGAAAAACTGAAGTGGCAACGTGTAAACTATAAAGGGAGTAGACCGAATAATAAGCTACTGCTGGCAATAATATCTTCCTATTGCTGCTAGCCTCCTGTTTACTAAGTTAGCTTAGCATACAGATTAGGAAAAATGGAAAACAGCCTCACTCTCATTAGTTGAGCGCAGTAGTTAATGGGTAGTGCTTGAGTGGTGCTAATGTCTTAGTATAACTCTCCCCAGAAAATGATAATAGATTTGCCAAAATATGACAATTCCTACACCGTAACGCAACTCCATAGAAATTGTACTTTGTGGACAATTTCTCTTATCAATATATTCCTAGGCTTTAGAAAGTATTAAGAGTAGTATATACCAAGTCACTTCCTGTGCGTTACCTGCGCTATGACAGCTTCTCTGCTCTTGTAATACTTGAAGAAGAGGTGGTCGGTCTGAATAAAAAGCTGACATGTGTTTTTCTCAGCCTGGGCCATCCTCTTCTTCCTCAGCAGCTGGGTGTCCAGATCACTGTGGACTTCCTGGTGTGAGTGAGACGGAAGAGGCAGAGCAGGAAACACACAGTTAAATAAAACATATTTAAAGGATTTTTCCAACAAAAACGGTAAAAAGAGTAAATAAATAATGTCCGGTATTTTTAGGCTGTGGTTCTTCAGCTGCAGTATGTTCATGAAGCTCTATTCTGCAGAGGAATATGTGCTTTCTATGTCACATACAGGGTGGAGGGAAAAGGCTGACCACTGCCACTGATGGACACCTATCTCAGTTTTAAGGTGTTCAGTACTTTTCGGTCACAGAGTTTTGCAGTGACATGTCACACCAAGTGAGTCAGAAGTAACCGATAAATCAAACTAATGCTTTTTGTTAATGTGGTTTAAATTGAACACAGACATATTTTATTACTGCCTACTATCTCTGATTGGATTGGAGCTAAGAGGCACAGCTTGAGATAAAGTGTTACATTTTATTGTCAGGTACCAAATTGAACATTATGTCATCCTGTTTGAGTCCATCACTTGAATGTGATAATAATACACGTGAGGCTTAGATGCTGCTTTCCATATTTCTGAATCCAAAAGGATGTCTAAATCTGAAGTTTAGTGTCGCAAACGCGACACTAAACTTGATCTGTGAAGATATGATGAAATGTCTAACTGTGCCCATCTTGCAGTGATAAAGAATCTTTCCCCAAAATTTCCTGGATTGAGATCTGAACTGACTCCAAGAATGATTCATTTCTGCAATGTGGGCCAAGCCTGAAATCTGGAAAATCTTTCATGCAGTTAAATCTTTAACTTTTTGAGTAATCCTGCTCCCACTCCTCTACAGCGGTAACAAATGAACGGGTGAACTTTTATACAGATGATCGTCTGGCCAAACTAAACCGTGTCGTAATACAATTTATGGAAATCTGTGAAATAACAATCATATGCAAAACTATATATATAAAAAAAAAATTACATATTAATAATAAAGTGACAAATCTTAACTGTGACTATACTGGTTTAACACTTACATGGTTATAACTTACAACATAGAACCAGGCACAGAGACTTTAAAAAGACATCTCTAGGTATCTTTGACCCTGACTAAGTAGTACCATAAAATATCCTCAAAGATCTTCACTAAACCCTGTCAGGGTTTATTGTAGTGTGTGGTGAAGTTAACCTTAGGGGGCTGCTCCACGGCAGAGGTTTGGTATTTCTTCATCTTTTCAAACACAGAGCTATCGGCACAGCCTCCCTCTGGGCCATACTTGTGCGGGTAGTCTGTATGAGAGAGACAGACACAACACTGTTAGGATTATGGGAGACAATGTTAGCTACTTAACCCCGTGAGTCACTCTATTTCAGGCGCTATTCACGATCAGCTAATGGAAGTACTTACACGTCACTTGAGCCTAGCTTTGCTGTGTGAGTTACTTTCCTGTCGCTCTCATTAGTGATTCCTCTCACAATTATGTTTAATTTGCCCCTCAGCCACACGCTATGTGTACACAGATGATGTGAAATTATGATTTGCAAGTGTAGTGAAGTGTACTTGGTGCTCACTATTAGTATCAACATTGCAAAGCCTGCTGAAATGAGCCAGTACCCAAGAGCAAGATTGTGTTACTCAGCTAATGAACACCCCAGGTGTCTGTGCTCCCCAGAGAGGGCCTATCACACCAGTCTGCCTCCATCGGCTCGGCAGCACTAACCTCGCACTTTCCAGTCACACACACATATATCTAAACACACACTCGATGATCACGGGATAATAGCCTGTCAAAGTATTTGCGTGGCTAAAGGTGCAGGGACTCACGTATGTCATCTTCATGGTAGATGACAGAGTGGAAGGGCACGTCCTTGTCCTCAAGGTATCTCTCCGCAGGCTCCACGTAGTAAGTGCCATGGTAGCTCTGAATAAAACCCTCAAATTTACCATCCACAATGGAGCCATGAGTCAATGTGCCTTTCTCGCCTGGGAGTCCAAATCGTACAATTATAAGCATCAGAAGATTGACACAGAAGAGGGTGCATTTGCATTTGAGAAAAACAAAGCCAACAGTTATTTGAAAAATCCCCTAGAGCAGCAGTACTGTAGTGACACATTTAAACAACTGTGAAAAATTTATAGTCTTACCAAAGATTTCTCCAGTGTAGATGTGAGAGGTATCATATGGAATCTCTTCACCTGAAACATCTACCTTCAAATCTGGGGAAAACAAGGTGGTATCTCTCTTCATTCGTAAATTAAAGTGCCTGAAATCAAAGAGATAAAAAAGAAGGCCTTCAGATTCAGGAGAGGAGCTGCAGTTGGCCTTAAGTAGTGGAAGTAAGCAACATTTACCCAGCCTTCTCTAAAAATGAACCTGCAAATTAAAAAAAAGGGGGGGTCGAAGCAAGAGCGTTCGCAGAGAAAAACAAAATTAAAAAACCCACCAAATACGCCGTTTTCTGCTGCAGATGCAAAACTGTAGCATTTAAATTTGTAAGAGACCAAACAGAAAATTTGAAATTAGGGCATCTAGCAACAGTGCTGTGTTTTTTTGTAGTTCAAACATATGGAGAGGGAAAAAAACATGTTACAGTAAACCTCGGATTTCATGGAACACCTACACAGTGCTCTTATTGTACGCTCGCATTGTGTGAAAGTTGCTGTTCTCTAGGTCCGTGAACAGACGAAACACAAAGCCTTTGTAAAATTTAGATCTGAAGCCTAATATAATAGCAAACAATACATCCTGCAATGTGCACAATGCCTAGTGAATCACTAGGCATTTGTAGGAATCTCAGGGGAAAACTCTGCGGTACATTAACATGTTTATTGGCTGTTTCAGATACATAGAGAACTCTGCAAAGGTTTTAGGCTCTCTGGATGTTATCCACTGCTCAATCCTATTAAGGAGGCATGTGAGAGGTCCAAAATCTTTATTCTGTAGGATGGCAATGGGCCCAAAAAAACCCCAACAAGAGTCAAAGTCCGCTCTTTGGCGACAAGAACAAGGAGTCTTGCAACAGATGGTAAAGCTCCCACACTGTGATCACAACATCAACGTGGACTCAGTCTGGGATTCCATGAGAAAATAACACAGAGAGCCATAATTTACAGAAAAATAGGGCAATTCTCAAAGTTGTGTGAAGGAAACTACTGCCCCAGCACTCTGAACTAAAAACCTAAGAACTGGTGGCGTTTTAGAGGCAAACCTTATACTGCATATGAATCTAAAAGCATCCTCACTGTACTATTAGTGGCTGTTAGTGTAAAGCACAAGACATTTTGTTCAAATGTCAAAAAGGAAAGCCAGGTGGTGTGCTGCAAATTAAACAGAAGAATCAGGAGTTCTCTCTCTAGCTTTGTCGTAAATTCAAAAGGAAAAGAATATGATGCGTGTTTTTTTTTTAAAGGAAGAGACATCTTCCTTCGGAGTTCGCCTTGCTCTTATGATACGCTTCCCTATTAAGCTGCATCTGAGTTTAGAAACAGCAGGCCCTGTTACAAGAAGGGCAACGAACTGCCTTTGCCAAGATCCCAGCCAGATGGTCGTGACTTTGTCATGGATGCTTTTTCACAACACCACCTCCTCGAAATATTAGATAAAGAACCATGACAAGGACGATTAGTATCAACCCATATACGATATTTGGAGGGGTTTCCACTCAGGCAGCATGAAACACCACATACATCACAGAGCTAACGAACACAGACAAATACATGCACAGTTTCACTTTAACTGCAGGGAATAAGAACACCTGGACAACAGCAATTATTTTGAGCTCAGGTTTGTGTCTTTAAATAGCCCATTTCTATCCCACCAACACAGTTAGTTTAAGCAATTAAACAAACATTAGAGTAGTTGCCAGTTAATTCAACCAATCAAGGAATACTGAAGCTCCAGGGGAGAGCAGAAAACCCACACAGAAAATAATTGTGATCATTAAAAATCCATCCTGAACACTGACCTAACATGATGCACCAGCGTATGTTTTTGATTTTGTAAAACAACTTTCAATAAAATTGCAAATCCCCCAACACAGAAGACCTCCAACTTTAATCATAAACAGCACAAGTACACGGGACGGTGTTTGCAAATGAATAAACAGACAAATGAATAAAGATACATGAAGAGAAAGGGGGAAAAAAGAAAAACAGATGCAGACAGACTTTACCTTTGGATAATATCTAGGAAAAGAAAGTGCACGAACCTTCCATGGGCATGAAAATCTAAATGCAGGTACTTGTCTTCATGAGAGAGTGCCCTCTTGGCCCTCTGATGCTTGCTGTGCACAAGCTCTGTGTCATAGGACAGGCCTTCATAGTGGCGGATGTACTTGTTCAGGGGATTTCTATAGTGTCCTGTGTGAAAAGAACGAAGGAACATCTGTTAAAGAAAGGTATGTGTGCATGTTTGTTTCCCCCCCCCCTCAAATATATACATACAGCAGCAATTGAAAAAAGAAAAAACACGTTCCCTACTCATTAGAAACTGGGATGCGATTCTAGTTGGTAACACAAACTATTCCTAACAGAAAGACTCAAAAGAATATGTACAAAAGCTACATTTGTAAACAACTGACGCACTGCTCATGTTAGGGTGGTTTAGATGCCCGTAAGGCGGATAATCTGGACAATATTTGACAGGCAGGATTACAATACAGGAAACAGACAGCAAATCAGTATGTTCTGGGTTTTAACTAAAATCTATTTAAGCCAAATGAATGGCAGCCTTAGACTAACTCTCAACGACAGCCCACAGCGTCACCGCTTAATTATTTCGTCACCAGAAGGCTGGGTAGTGGGCTTGAAAGAAAGCAATTCTTAACCGTCTCCACACATTTTGCCCACTGTTTCACACTGAAACAAAAATGGGTTTTTCTAGATTGATTTTGTTTATGGCATCTATTCCCCCAATGAATGTTGGCATGTTTTCCACATACATATACACCACTTTCCTCAGTGTAAGGTCAGATCGCTGCTCCATATAAAAAAAAGAGAGAGAAGCTTTTTTAGTAAACAGAGTCCATGTAATTAGGCTTCTCTGGCAGGTAATTATGCCTGACTAGTGAGCCATAAATTACAGGATTCTGTGCAACATTATAACAAAGATGGATAAGTAGACCAGGCTTCAGCTACTTCCCTTTTCATGTGCGGTATGAAATATTTAGGTGGTAACATTAAATTTTTCATTGAGGTGACTATGAGAAGTGAAGGCCATAACTATATCTCTGAAATAAATTAATTTCTAAAGACTTACAAAACATAAAGAAAATGTGAGGAGCCAAGATTGATACACTTCAAAAACACTAATCAAAGAGAAACATTAAATATAGGAAAATATGAGACAAGTTGGACTTAATTTATCTTAAAAGTTGGGAAAACTGCTGTGTTACAGTAGCCAAAAACAACATAGGTCAAAAAAAAAAAAAAAACTGAATCAGAATCAGAAAGTAAAAATTAGAAAAAAGAAATCAAGCTGAAATCCAGGTATGTGAATGAATAGCTTGAGTACATTGTAATAAATAAAAAGAAGTATTGTGGTGTTAGGCATGAAGGATTTCCTGTAGTTTAGACTAGATTAGATTAATAAAAGAAGCATTGCAAGCAAAAACCACTGTGTAATTGTATATGTATCTGTGTATATGACTCCTATATTTAGCTGAGAACATTAGGATTTAAAAGCACAGCATCGGCATATAGCAGATAGTGGTAGGATAGCAGAAGTGCATTACACGTCAATACTGCATTTTACACAGAGCAATTTGGCACCCACACACACATAGACACACACAAAAACTATTTTTATTAAAATACTGACTGCAGGTTGATTTGACTTAAAACACCACTGACAGGGAGCAAAACTGCAGACAAAATTATGCCAGCAAAATGCGAAAACTTGTGTCTTTTACACTGAACACAGGTTATTTTCGGGGCTAAACTGTTGTTGTTGTTTTTTTAATAATGACAGAACAATTAGCGGCTAAAGTGGCAGCTAGCTCAGAGCTAACGCTGCTTTAACAGTCGGCATCTCCATCTTCTCATAACAATGGCTGTCGGCGCCGCTCGCACGGTAACAACAAAACCCTCACCCAAAAGCTGGCGATAAAAAACGGTGACAACACACGGACGTAACTCCCCAATGTCCGTTTATTTCAATCGACTGCGCGAATCCGAGTCCGCTTTTAAGCTATGTGTGATTTGTCGCCTTGAAGTAATACGGCAAAAAGGGTGCAGTCCTCTTCATAACAAGCAGGCCCTGCTGATCCCTTCTGTAGCTAGCAGGCTATCGGGATTTCTGCTCCTCCTCGCTCGCTGCTTCATGGATTCAACACAACTCGATTTGCTCCGACAGAAACCGCCTCACTCACCTTGGGTGTAGTTTAGCAAGTACACGAAGAGGAAAACTTTAAGGAGAAGGGTATGTGACAAATCCATTGTTAGAGCATTGATGCCGTTTTCACTTTATTGTCCTACTTAGATAGGCGCAGACGCCCTGTGTGTTTATTGCAGCTTCCTCACATCGCCTCCTCTCCCTCTCTCCAGCGCCGTGACGTCAGACGCAGGATAGCCTGGCATCCCTTCCCCCAGAAGCGTCCATGATCCACCAGGCCTGCATACATTACAACACTCAGTGTGCTTGGGATCTAGTGTCATACGTATCCCTCTCTGTCTGCATGTGTGTAATATATAAATATATGCACACATCAATAAACATGAAAATTCTACAGTTTTTCTCAGCATAACTACTTAACTGCTCAATTATTTCAGCTAGAGGGCTTTTAGTACAATTGCAGATGATTTTACATTAATATTACATAAACATTCACTGTTGAAGCCACTTTATGCAAAACTGTGAAACGCCCCCAAGTATCAACCTCCCACTGTGAATGATACTGCTACTTGAGTTTTTTTTTTTTAAAATGTCCACCAAGCAGGTTGTGATTGGCTGGTCTGCCAGAGAGCGATATTGGATACTTTGTGTCAAACCAGTGACGTATGCCTCTGATTTATGACAGAAGAAGTAATTAAAGGTAATGGCAATCACAATGTTTCTGAATATTATAAATTATGATATATTTAATAACTCGTTAATAATGAATAATCACATTGTTTAACACATTTTCACACACAAAACAGTTTTTGTCATAAAGTAAATGTTTTGGCTTAAAATGATAACAGCGCACCATTATGAATTATTATTCCATCATTTTAATTTCTTTCTCAAACATCCTATTCATCGTCCTATTCCATCGCCATATTTTCATGATCATATTTTTTTGGTCAGAATATTATTGATTATTATTGAGTTATGAAATATCATAAAAAGTATTACTGGTTTGACACTTGGTACCTAATATCATCTCTATTGCTTCTTAGGATAGCTCAAAAAGTTGATTCTGTTCATCTGGGCATAGAAACGTTTCGTCACTCATCCAAGTGACTTCTTCTGTCTCGGCTGAGTGGTGTTTCCTTAGCCTTATAAACATCACCTTTGCACAATGACTGAAACTAGCACCAATGATGAACAATGGGCTGTGAGGTCAGTTTCTTGATCATTAAATTGGCAGATGTACAGATGAACAGAAACAACTTTAGGGTTTTCTTACCTGGATGATTGAGCATGTATCAAAACTTTTTTTGTTTGTTTTGTTTTGTTTGTAACTACCTGTTTTTTGGCACTTAATATTTTTATTTCCTTTACTATTTTATGCTGTACAGTGCTTTATGACTGTGAAAAGAGCTTAATAAATAAACTTAATTTATTAATTTACTTACAAATTTCAAAGAGCTGAAACATGAACATTAGATAACAAATTCACTGTTTATGCTACAAAATAGTGAAAACACTTTTTTGGCCTCTAGTTTTGATCATTAAGTGCTTACCTTTACTTCCACCGAGGAGGTTGTGGTTGGTTTGTCTGGGTGTTAGCAGCATTACTCAAAACCTGTTTGGACAGGTTGGAATAATTTCTTTTACAATTATCAAATTGAAATAAAAAAACATTAAAATTAACATTTATCCATCTATTATTCTTTTTTATTTTGTGGTTATAGGTTTGGCATACTTTATAAATTCTCATAAACTGCCAAAAACGTATGTTGCTTCACAACACTCAGTTTAAACAGTGTGTCCTAAGCCTGTTTAACCTTAGAAAAGATTCACTTTATTACCTCTGTATTTTGGTTCAGCTTATTTGTTTGTTATGGATGAATTTACTCGATTTCTTAAAAATCAGAAGTGGGAGTTGGCCCAAATTTGACTTAATCCAGATCTGGATAAAGGGATTTCTGATACATTCTTCGTCACTGAATGATGGGAAAAGTTGGAAATTTTGTCTTATCTTCACAACTTTATATCAAACTGAAATATTTAAAAACTCATGATTGTCTTTATGTTCTCAATAAAATATCACTGATCCAGATTATTCTGGATTCACGGACTCTTCTCATACCTGATGTAGAGTCATCTGTCAGTGGTGGTGTTTTTTCCTCAGTGTTCTTGTTCTGAGATGAGTCTTACAGTAAAGTGACTGAGTCACATCATACCAGTAATACGATTTTGTCATCTTAGCATCAGGGAACCAATTCAGACTGAACACTTACTAGGTTAATAGAGAAAGCAAACCACAGATTGACTGATAATTTAAAAAAGAAATAATGGGCCTTTGGGAGGATGACTGTACACGGCATTAAGCATGACCACTTTTCTTGGTAGGGTACGGAGCCACTGTGGAGGGGTAGTTTATCAACTATGATACACTTTTATTGTTAATAACTGATTTACGGCAATGTTAAAGTTTGAAATGAACATGCTGAGGCAGAGTCTTAGCTTATTAACAGAAAATCTGTTTCAAGATTTTTTTCTTTCTTTATTATTATTTTTTTATACAGCATTTAAAAAGGAAGCAGATTTTTTTGGGCTGGCTAAAAATTTCCTTCAGTTCTGCCCTAAAATACTCTGATTAAAAGTAGCCCTATGACTTCTTCTTTTGCACCCAGCTGATATCTTTGATTACCCAATGCTTACTGGCAAAAAGCTTATTTATAGGCATAATATCACAGTGTTTAATTGCATAACAAACTCATAGAGCTGTCATGTAATTTACAAGCAGCCAAGAAAATGTGAGTCTTGGTTGCATGGCAACACACAATCCTGTGATTACAGGATGTCCCAAAAAGGAAACACCATTATATTAGTGTAGTGGCTGGATCTATTTACTGTCATGCATCAGTTGCAATTTTTGATCCTGGAAGCTGTTAACGATGATCCTCATCACATAGTGCACGACTTCCTGTTGAAGACCAGATGATAATGCCATACAAAACAAAGCACATTAACCTCCTCCTACATAGAAAGGTGAAATTTTATAGATTTTGAAATCAAGATTTACACCATTCTCTATAGGTTGATCAAACAGGATGTTTTTTTTCCAGCATATCCGATTGCGGATGTTTTCTTTTTGACTGCAGTCTGATTAATTAGCAGCACAAGTCTTATCAGTCAATTTCTCTGTGTCCGTTTATTCCAGACGAGCTCCTCTGGCTCCAGTAGCAGTCACGTGACACACCTCCACATCGGCCCCAAGTTTCTGCAGCTCATCCAGCCAGATCTGTTGCTTGTGAGACAGTCGGTCATTGGGCCCCTTCACCTCCACCAGCTACAATCACATGACATCACAAGAGTTTAAACTACTGGGCACCAAAAATCTCCTGATTCCATAAAAAACAGAGAACAAAACAAGCCAGGATGGCAGGTGATCTCACCTTGTAGCTGTTGTTTGAGCTGTTCCACACCACAAGATCGGGCAAACCTCCACGGCAGTGCCTGTAGTCTTTTGCCATTCGTGCTATTACTCCACCTAGAAAGGCTCCACCCAGGCATGCAACAAGAGACTGGGGAGAGAAAAAAGAAAAGAAAATCAGCATCTAATTGCACATCAGTATCATGTTGGTACCTACAGTAAGAAATGTAGAAACTTACAATCCCCCCCCCCCAAAAAACAATGAAAACAGTACAAAGAAAAAAAAACACATGGTCTTCTTCAACTGGATGCCAGCAACGCCATCAAAAAAAAATCCAGGACAAGGGCATGTTTACTGACCTTTTCTTGTTTCTTATTTTTCTATTATCAGTTCATACAGATTCATTGAATGCTTCACAAGAAAGTTTCAAACCCCATTCTAAATGTATTACACCAGCATGGCTCCAAAGCAAGAGTCTACGTGCTAATCTGTCAATGAAGGATGCTCCAAACTTGGTAATGAGGTGAGACAATTATTAGAGTGTGTTTGAGGAAAATGTGTCCTCATCTGCCCCACTGCGCTGACACATGATGTGAGAAACACCGTATACTGACAGCACTCAACATGTACTTTTAAAACCTTAAGTACCTGCGCTTGCTGAAGGGATGAGAAACGTTCCCAGCTCACCAACGAACAGACTTTTCCCTCCTGGGAATTCCAGACATCTTCCAACATATTTTGCAGAGTTTCCACAGATGCCTCACAAAGTAACTGGACACGAGAGTCGATTGCATCCTTTCTGTTTTCATAAAAGCAGTCGGTGTAAAAATCCAGCGGACACGTCTGTAAGGGAAAACAAACGTGAGCTCTAGAGTTTCATACATATTCAGATAAACACGTATAGACCTTTCTTTACCTGGTATGGGTTTCGGAAGACATCTGGAATACTGTCCATGAAAATGATGTCCCACAGCAGGAGAGCAAACAGTGTTGAGAATGTTGAACCCTCTCCATGGATCCCTGATAATAATAATAATAATAATACTTAAACAAAACAAAAGAAAAAACAAAAAAACCCTACTGTTTCTGTTTGTATCTATACATTCTTACAGGAGAAAAAAAGTTGTTTACCTTGGTCAAAACCTTGCTGTCTGTAATGCGCCAAGGACAGCTCCTCTACAGAGCATATTACAGTGGAATGAGCGCCCTCTTCATTTGCTGGTAAAAGAAATTTAGACTTTCCCATGCCTCCCTCATGAGGAAACAGCTGTCCTCGAATAGTCACCTGCAGTCAGATGTAACAACAAACAAACAAACAAACACACAGACACACACAAAAGCATCTTTTAGGTGAGCTAAAAAACTAAGCTGTTCCGTTTTGAAACCCACACACTGACACTGTGAAAAACATACATGCTTGACATCTTGTACTTGGACAGTGGGCAGGTCTCTCAGTTGCAGGCGGTACTTCTTGCAGCTGGCAGACTCTTTCATTCTAACAGCTCTGTGATGCAGCGCGAGTTTATGTCCTGTACGCACCAAAGGGTCTGACAGCCCATCTCTAATAGCACAGATAGCCTGAAGGTAAAGAACACAGTCCAACAATTGAAAGATTAACACAAGACATCTGACAAAAAATTAAATCAGACTGTCTCAGTAGGACGTGAATGAGAACAGAGAAGGGTGCAGACTTGCTCGTGACTTTTGAGGTGCTGGTGAAGGTTTAGTGCCAGTCTGTCCCACCATCGCCCGCGGCTGTCAGGACAGTAAACGGACTGCAACAGCAAAGACCGCAGCTCTTCAACTGCTTCCTGTAACATGAACAGAAGACCCATGAGATCTTCAACAACAATGACATGAACAAGCACTTTAATTTGTGTTTCGCGGTGAATGGACAGGTTCAGAAACCTCATAGCGACGGAGCCTTTGCAAAATCTCGACCCCTCTGGATAAAATTCGAGTGTAAGCCCATCCTGCAGTGAAGCAGCGCAGAAATACAGGCAGCTTTTCCTGATGACTGCAAACAAATCATATTGTTATCAGTCACAACTGACTGTTTTTGGAAACACTGAAGCAAATGTTTATGATTTTGCACCTGAGGTCATTGTTTTTCTTCAGCACTAGCCATTGACTTTTGGCTGCAGCATAGAGCTCCATGGCCGTCTCCCACTGACCACCCTGCATAGCCAGGATCACCTCTTGCAGTGCTCGCATGGAAGCTTCATATCTGGTGTGATGCATGCCATTATTAGTACTTATTTGTGCCTATCCTGCTTGATAAAACATAAGAAAGTCATTATAGATCTTTTGGTAGAACCTTACCTGATAAGGTCCTCTCTATCCTGAAAAACCTTGGCTACACGCTGTACTGTATAGTCTGGGAAGGCCAGACGACCTGAGTTTACCAAAAGGATGGTATAAAGCTGGCTCTGTCCTCCAGCTGCCATCTCCTCTTCTTCCATGGTGTCCGTCAGAGAGAAGAGCAGGAGAACACGAGAGAAGACAGCCCGAGGACCCCGACAGAGACGGACACAGGAACCTGCAAGCTGCTTAGCCCTTTAAAGACAGGATGGGGTGTGACCACCACTGCAATACTGGTACTAAAAAAACATAACGTAAATAATTATCTTACCGTTTAAGAATCACTGCTCCGACACTGTTTTGTGCAGTGGTCAGAGTGAAAAGAGACTTTTGCTTGCTAAGGCGGAGCAGCCCGTCCACTACCTGCTGCTTTTGGGTCGCTGAATTGCCCAGGTGGAAAGTCTTAGCCAAAGCTTTGAGTTCAGGAGCCGGCAGGAGATCCAGAGCCTCACCCAAGTCTTCAAGGTCATTCTCTTTGAGAGGTAAAAACACCAGACGTGGACATTATTAGAGAAAATTTGGTGATGTTTCTTCATTGATGTAATTTGATGTTTATTCCAAACATTTTACTGTATTTCCTAGCTTCAACCATTAACATGATGCCAACATAATAGCTAAATGTGATCAGTGCAGTCATATTAATAACATAATTGGAAAAACATGAATATCGAACGGTAACAAAATGACAGTAACAAAAGGAGACATTAAATTTTTTACACATTTACCTGTCTCCAGAAAACCACTTTGAACCAGTTCCTGTGAAATGGGTCCAAGATCGCTGCATATCTCTTCATAATCCAGCTTATTTACTTGGAGCCACTTCAGTTTCCTCTGAAAAAGCCTCACATACAACTTCTGTCCCATGACTTCAAGAGAGAGAATACATGTGAACAATAAAGCCAGATTTTCACAGTTTTTAGAATAACTATTGAATAATATTTTAACATACCTGACAGATTTTCAAATGCACGTATAAAGGACAAATCATCTTGGTTGAACAACTCTCTGTCATCCTCATTCTCCAGCACAGCGTGTAGTACAGTTTTGAAGTTCCTGAGGTAGTAGGGAAGGTGCGGCGAAGCCGTAGTCGAGCTCTGCTCACTTGTGATGCTATCGGCACTAAACACTGGGAGTAAATCATCACTGACAACCGCAACCTTTTCCTCACACGTTTCCTCTAAATTCAAAGGTTGGTCACAAGCAGATAACGCTACTACAGTTTCATGCTGATCCAGATCAGTTGTTCCAGCTTTACCTTCAGAGGACTTCTTCTCCAGCTTGGCTTTCTTTTTAAAGCTAGCTGCCTTACTAGTGGAAGATTTACTTTTTCGTTTTGCTGGTTTGGAGGGAGAAGAGTGTGGCTTTGGAGCAACTTGTTTTTGAACAGTATCAGATTTAGATGCTTTGTTTTCAAATTTATGTTGTTTTTTTGAATGTGATGGGTCTTGTACTGTTGCTGCAAAGGTGACACTGGTGGACCGGCGTGTCATACCTTCTTTTTCATCTTCTAAACTCTGAATCAGAAGATTCTCCTTCTGTGAGCTATTCAGTGTCTCATCAAGTTCATCCACTGTCTCTTTCCTCTCAGATGCCTTATGAAAATTTCCAGATAATTTGGAAGAGAGACTTTCCTGGTCAATGGTCCTGACCACAGTCTTGCTGTTTATTTCCCGTGGTGCCTGTTGTGAGTTGTTTGCTGGTTTGGAGGGAGAAGAGTGTGGCTTTGGAGTAACTTGTTTTTGGACAGTATCAGATTTAGATGCTTTGTTTTCAAATTTATGTTGTTTTTCTGAATGTGATGGATCTTCCACTGCTGCTACACAGACAACACTGGTTGATCTGACTGGCAGGTCCTCTTTTTTGTCTTCTAAACAATGAATCAGAAGATTTTCTTTCTGTGAGCTATTCAGTGTCTCATCAAGTTCGTCCACTGTCTCTTTCCTTTCAGGTGCCTTATGAAATTTTCTAGATAATTTAGAAGAAAGACTTCCAAGGTCAATGGTCCTGACCACAGTCTTGCTGTTTATTTCCCGTGGTGCCTGCTGTAAGTTATTCTTTTTGAAATAAGGGCTTGTTTTGGTCTCTTTGCCTTTTTCACCCGCTTCTTCCACTTTTCGATCCACCGCGGGAGACTCTGGGAGACTCCTTCTGGGTGACAGCTGAGTGCTTGAGATAACACTATTACTTGCTGAGCCGACAGTGCTGTCTCCTCTCTCAAAGTTCTGACATTGCAGATCAATATGCTCATTGATCTTGAATCTCGGTACCAGCTGGCCACACAGGGGACAGGCCAGCTTAGGTGGAGGCTTGCTGGAGAAGAACGACGTGATTGGACTTGTGGTGGCACCCCTGGCAGCAGTGCCAACTTTAACAACATTGTCCGTCTTTTTGGTTCTCGACAATGATAAACGTCCCCTGAGTTTGCCTTTGTTAGCTCGCTCGGCCATGTTTCAGCAATGCAGGCGGCAGTGGTGGTGCTGCTCGGTGAAAACTATTTTCCCCCACAGGTTTTCTTTGTTGCATACTCTGACAGTTGAGCTTTCGGTGTAGAAATGCTTCGTATGCTAGCTTACCTATGTCTCATTTAAAATGGTCACACATTTGCGACTTTTAGTGCTTCACAAATCCAGCAGAAAACTATAAAATACAGCCTGTCAGCGGTTCAAAACAATAGCTAACATACCGATAGCAGATATGGCACCCAATCCCGCTTCTTAGGCACAACCAGTAGAGCGCAGAACATCGAAATCGATCCCAGATACATCGATATTTTTCCTCAACAAACGCAAATAAATCCTAGGAAGCTGTAAGATATAATCATATTAAATATGGCTTTAAAGTAAAGATAATCTAATAATATAAATCACACCTTGGGTGTCTATTTAATGACTTACAAGCCACCACTTATACTGTTAAACAAATTATAAAATGACTAAAAAATTAAAAAAACAAACAAACAAACATAAAAATACAATCCATTCATATAGAGGTGCATCTGCGTGTGCATTAATGTTTTATGTTGGGTAGAACAGTGCGACTAGTGAGCACATGGTGCGTGTGTGCCTGTGTTAGGGGGTGTATTTTCTACACACGTTCCTGGGCTGCTGTGCGGCTTTTATTCAAAAATCACCATCCCGGAGATCAATCTCATCTGATCAGCAAACGGGCATTTTAAGGGAGAGGTCCCCACAGGACTGATGTCGGTAAGTGGCACACACATATATTAATGCACGTATAGAGGGGAGCATGCAATATTGATGCATGTAGGCCTGCTCGTGTTTCTGTCACAGAGCGAAAACGATGCTAGATGTGCGTGCTCCTGTGGCACATCAGCCCATTAGTTGGGTGTCAGCATGGTGCAGTCTCGATGCTTCACATCAAGGTCGATGTGAATTTTCCAGCTGCTGTAGGATAATAAGATGCCTCCAGATGGTATAACCACTAGAGAGCGTGTGTGGAGGGAGCGCGCTCCATTAATGCACGGTATATGCGCAGGACATATCCGATTATCTTATCGACATCTAGGCAGAGGGAAATGCGGCGTCCACTTGTGGGGAGACTGGAGCCACAGCAACAACCACCCCTGCAGCTGCGGCAAAAGTTAGGCGTAATAGCTTTATAAAATACTACCACTCATTCTTCAAGGGCAGGGCAGGTGCAAGAAAACTGCAATGGTGAAGGCCAATTCTACTCTGTAATTGCCCCTGTTGTTTTAATTGCCAGTTCAGCACCATGGAGAAGTCATGCTTAGGTCTGTTAGCAGGGATTAGAGGTTTTTTGTGCTGATGATGCTATAATCCCAGTTGCATAATGACCTGATCAACACTGATAGGATTCATTTCGTTGTGGAGTCTTTTTAGCTTGAGCCAAATAGTTTGCTCTATGATTTTTCTTTTCAGCCTCAAGCTTGGATGCTTCATGCTGAGATGAGGATGCTGATGATGACATGTTTATACTGGGCGTGTAGCACAGCACTGTCAGTGTGCTGCCTCTCACATATCCTGTACTAATCAAATATAAAGCCTGTATTACTAAACTGAGAGCATCACATTCACACTTAAGGAGCTCACTTCTTTTAAATGATGACAGGGATGAAAAGAGATTTGGTGTAATTCAGAGCTGAGAGAATCATAAATTATATCATTATAATATTGATAAATACAATCAACAGCATTTTTATGTTGTATTGATGGATACTCTCTAATTTACTGGTGTTAAATCCTGCTGTTGTACATTTGTATTATTACTGTAGGGCTGCGAATAACAGATATTTCCCTATTTCTTAATCTGCCAGATGTTTTCTTGATTGAGAATATATGTTGAATGCACACTCACCAGCCACTTTGTCAGGTACACCTGTTCAGCTGCTTGTTAACGCAAATATTTAATCAGCCAATCACATGGCAACAAAGTTAATGGCATATGCCTAAATGCATATTTACGCATGCAGACATGGTCGAACCAGGCTGTTGACATTGAAACTGAGCATTGGAATGAGAAATGGGGCTGATTTAAGGGACTTTGAATGTGGCATGGTTGTTGGTGCAAGGCAGGCTGCTCTGAGTATTTCAGAACTTGCTGATCTACTGGGATTACAGCCATTTCTAGGGTTTATAGAGAAAAATGGTCAGAAAAAGAGATAAGATCCAGTGAGCGGCGTTTTTCCTTGTTGAATGTCAGAGGTTAGATGAGAATGGCCAGACTGCTTCGAGATGATAGGAAGGCAACAGTCATTCAAATAAGTACTTGGTACAGTCTATGCATATAGAAGAGCATCTCTGAATGCACATGATGTTAGTCCTTGAAGCGGATGGGTGACAGCAGCAAAAGACCGCACAAGGTGCCACTCCTCTCAGATAAGAACAGGAAACTGAGACTGCTGCAAAATAGGGTCTGAATCTGGAGTAAAAAACATAAAAGCAGCACCAGCAGTGGTTCCAAGTATATTTTCCTGGCACGCTTTAGGCCTCTTAGTGCCAACTGAGCATCACTTAAACACCACAGCCTACCTGGTTACTGTTTCTGACCATGTCCATCCTTTTATGACAGCAGAAGAACACACCATATCACAAAGCTCAAATCATCTCTAACTGCTTTCCAGAACACAACAGGGAGTTCACTGTACTCAAATGACCTCCACAGTCACCCAATCTCAATCTAGTAGTTCAGCTTTGGGGTGTGGTGGACTTCACATTATGGAGGTGCAGCCAACAAATCTGCAGCAAATGTGTGATGCTGTCATGTCAATATGGATCAAAGTCTCTGAGGAATGTTTCCAGACCCTTGTTGAATCCATGCCATGAAAAATTAAGGCAGTTCCGAAAGCACAAGGGGGTTCAGCTCTGTACCATTTAGGTGTACCTTATAAAGTGTCTGGTCAATGTAGACTATCATGTCTCTATTTAAAATTTCTCGTTTCTGTCAACTGTAGACTATCGGTAAAAAAAATAACAGAAAAAAAAAATCAAATAGTTACATTCGAGAGGCTGGAACTCGTTAAATGCCAGTATTTACTTTTAATTAACAGCTGTAATCATTTTTCCACGATTAATTTCTATCGGTTCAGCTGTGAAGTACTTTCTGACTAATTTAGACAGTTTTGTGTTGTTGTTCTTTGGTTCTTTACTGTTTTTCAAGGCAGCTTCTTGAAGATACTGTTTAGCAAACTATAAAACAATAACATAGTTTATAGAAAACACCACATGCTACAATCTGAAAGCAGGCATGGGCAGCATTTTTGTCAGCATTACTTGTGCCAGAATTTTTATAATAACTTTTTAGGATGTTATATTTCAAGCGGTGTGTGAGAGAGCTAGACTAGGTTAAGCAGATGACTTTCACCCGCAAGAGAAGAGTTTAAATTGTGTGTGAAGGCAGACTGACTTACAATAAGCCAGTATGGAGCATCTGCATATGTCTGTGCTTCTGTGGTGGGAGGTGCTAAGAATAGAGAGCAGTGTTGCAGAAGGAAGGCTGTGTGTCTGTAGTTTTACTGCAGCCTTCCTGTTCTGCAGGACATCAAGACAAAATTAGAGCAGGCACAACGGACCAAGATCACAGATAACAAACACCATCAAAGACAAATGGACTGAGATGGTGCATGTAAGTAAAATATGGATGTTTGGTACGGAGGGAGGATGTGTGTGTGTTTTTAAAGTATGACAGAGATAGTCACTGTATACAAAAGTGGATCTTTGACCATATGCAAAGAGGAATCTTTGATGTTTGGTTATTTAAATTGACGGCACCTGTGCTGTAGGCTTGTAGCGGAGGAGCTCGAAAACTGAGAAGAGTTGCTGAAGAGTTTCTGTTTTTATGAAAGAGAGCATCGAAGTCTTTGGAAGGTGATTTCTCCAGTGTGATGAACCTACGTCATTTGCAAAATACAATATGTGTTCAGTTATATTTCATAATAATATAAAGAGTCTGAATGATGATATACTGTTGAAAATATAACATTTCTCAAAAATGTGAAATTGATTTTCTATTAATGTTTACAGGGCTTAGGGTAGTGGGCTAAAGGGGCCAGTTATGGCTCATGGAAAGAGGCCAGGATCCATTTCCAAAATATTGGTACCCGGCACTTCATCATGCCCCGGTCCTGGACAGAGCAAAGAAGAGCGGGGAGGTTTGGTGAACGAGGCGACTGAGCAACCACCTTGTGCGCTGGAGGAGGATAATAATGACCAGCTGACTTCTCCTGTTTCTGCAAATCACTATTACATGAGTTGTGACCCTAGTCCTGAGGACATGGAGGACACCTGCTCTGAGTACGACAACGTGGGCTCCGATGTCGAGCAGGACTATGATGAGGTTCTGCATTTGAACAGAGAGGGCGGTGTGGACATGAGGTATTACAAGCAGTACTGTCCTGAGGACGGTGGCTATATAAAGCATGCTGTCAGTGATAATATTAATGAGAACACCAGTGCTCCTGACCAGATGACTCCGAGGCCACGGCATGGCACAGAAATATGTGAGGGATCACAATCAGACGCTAAGCCGAGTAAGATGAGCCATCGCTTCAGGTCGCATTGTGCTCCAGTTGCTGGTGATGAAACAGAAGGGGGAGTTAAAAAGGGCCAGGAGGACAGGTTCTTCTTCGGTGATGGAGATGAGATAGAAGAGGTGCTAGATGGGGCCAAATTTATAGAGGATTTAGAGGAGACGGAGGACAGTATTCAGAGGCAGGCTAGCCTTTATCAGGGTAATGAGAACGAAAGAATTAGGAAGGGGGGAGAGGAACGGCAAAGAGAAGGTGACGTCCGAGTCACAAGGAACCCTAATGTCCTAGGAGCCAGCAAGAAGTGTGAGCCATCTCACATAGATTCAAAGGAGAAGGAGCGGCAGGGTAAAGGGCGAGGAAGGAGGGGAACAGGAGAGGGCATCGAGCAAATTGCCTCTGGGATCAAAGGATGCATGGCCAGCAACACTGAGCAGCGTCCAAAGACTTTGCCCAGGGACTGCAAAAAAGTTGCCGTGAGGACCAAAGCTAGGTCCAGTTCCAGTAAGCAACACCCTATTCCCCCACCTCGCCACTCCCATGCTCAGCCTCCTACTGAAACCCAGAAACCCCAGCCTCACAGAGAGCCTCCTCCTGTTCCCAGACCCAGTAATTCCACTGCTAACAGCCGGGAGAATGAACCCAGGGTTATCAAGCAATCCCTGGCTCCTCTTCACACACCAGAACAACAGAGGGAGTCTCTCGAGGAGAGACAGAGACGGCTAGAGAAACCCCAGCAGGTAAGCAATGCAAATAGGACACATCTTTGTCAGCTCTTGTCCCCTGTGGCTTGTGATTGTAAATGTTTGTGCCAAACCTGCCTCTGCTGTGGTTTAGAGGGGATCAGCACAATTTTAATTTTATGCATCGCCAGAAATAGTCTTCATCACTTTTTATGAGTTCTTCTTAATCGGCACAGGACAACAAGAAATGTTAAAAAACACGAACTGTCCAAGATAAGAAGAAAACACCCCCCACTTATTTTTGTTTAGCAGAATGAGAAGCTCAGCCCGGCTGCAATACCTGAGGAGCTGCCAGAGCAGGCGACGAGGTCTCAGTGTCCAGAGCCTGTCTCTGCAGAAGACAGCAACACTCCCAAGGTTAAAATTCAGCTACTTTTAGCTTCTTATCATCCAGTTTTTGATCAAAAAACTGTCTTTTACTGTCTCTTTAATCGTATTCCCAAGAAACATTTGTTTTTGTAAGTTTTGTATGTAGGCAATCGTGGATATTGTGATAGATATAGGTTTTTATACTGTATCTGCAAAATATTTGCCCTTGAAGTCCAACTTATTACCTTTTTTTAAAAAGAAAACACAGGAAGCTGCTTCGTTTCCCAGCTTTGAGGATGGTAAATATCTCAGAATATTCTCAAAATGTTGTCATTTTTATGAATCTGTGCTGCACGTTACAGGGGTCTTTTTGTCACACAGTCCCAGGTCCCTGTGAGCCAGAAGACCTTATTGATGGGATCATCTTTGCTGCTAACTACCTTGGCTGCACTCAAGTTTTGTCTGATAAAAACCCATCCAAGAGTGTCCGTATGTCTCAGGCTCATGAAGCTGTCAGTCAAATCAAGGTAATTCTTCTTCAGGGTTGTTACAGCTACCAACATGCATCCATTTAGTTCATAAATCTTTAAATTGGCCAGCATCAAAGTGTGGGAACAAACTGAAATGACATCTAGGGAACAAATTGAATTCGGGTCCAGGAGACTTGATTAGATTCTCTTGATGTTCTCCATCTGGGATTTTCAGCCTTAGAAAAGTTGGCTTTTATTTTTGGCTGGAGGGACTCGACTTTATTAGGGATTTGACTTTATTCTACATGTATGCTCGCAGTGGAAATAAATAATATGTATGTAGTTCAGGCCAGGGTCTTTCTGTGTGGAGTTTGCATGTTCTCCCCATGTTGGTGTGGGTTCTCTGCGGGTACTCCGGTTTCCTCCCACAGTCCAAAGACATGCAGTTAGTGGGGATAGGTTAACTGATCAATCTAAATTGCCCATAGGTGTGAATGCGGGAGTGAATGTGAGTGCGAATGGTTGTCTGTCTCTGTGTGTTAGCCCTGTGACAGACTGGCGACCTGTCCAGGGTGTACTCCGCCTCTCGCCCTATGACAGCTGGGATAGGCTCCAGCGCCCCCCGCGACCCTGAAAAGGATGAGCAGAAGTGAATGGATGGAAGTTTACATCCATTTGTCATGGGCAATTTTGTATTTTTTAATGATTTTTTTGAACTGTTATTTTTTCAGGGTAAAATAATTATACAGCATACAATCTCGAATTACTTTAAAAAGAACTGGGTCCACAAGTTTGATTTAAGGTTGGATGTTATTTAATACACACAAGGCCAGAAGTATACATACAGGCTCAATTATATAGATAGACTTACTTTAATCTTTTAATAAGTGGTGCTGAATTCTGTCTTTTAACTTGACAAGGTTAAGGCCTGTTAACTTAAACAACTGTACATAACTATGTTATTCAGATGTGTCATCACTTTGCCGAGATCTGGATTTAGACCCAGACTGTCCCGCTACAATAAGAGGAATTTGGTTAGGATGTTCAGGAATAACCCAGGAACCACTAAGGCTCAAGCCTACCATGAGCTGGAAACTGCTGGAACACCAGCATCACTGTCCACAGTGAATCCAGTTTTATATCATCACGGACTGAGAGGGTGCCGACCAAGAAAGAAGCTCCTGCTCCAAAATGGAAACCTTCAAGCTCGAGGGAAATTTGCAGCTGCCCACATGGACAAGCCAAATGCCTTCTGGAGAAAGGTTTTATGGCCATATGAGACAAAGATTGAGCTATTTGTCCACACTTGACAACAAGTATGTTTGTAAAGGTGAAAGCTTCAAACCTAAGAACACTGTACCAATTGTAAAGGACGGTGGTGGTAGCATCATGCACTGTGGCTGTTTTGCTGTCAGCAGTACTGTTACATTGTACAAAGTGGTTGTAATAATGAAGAAGAATGATTATCTCCAAGTTCTTCAGCGTGTTCCAGTAGCTCAGTGATCCAAAGCACACGCGTGAGGTGGTTTTTGAATGGATGAAGCAGGCTAACGTTAAACAGCTGGAATGGCCTTACCAAAAACCGGGTGTGTGCCAAGAAGAGTGGTCAAATATACACCAGGAATTATGCCAGAAGTTTCTTAATGGCTACAAAAAGCTTCTGGTAAAGGTGTAACTTACTAAGGGACGTTTAACCAAATATTAGTGGAGGTGTATGTATACATCTAAAACTGTGTGGATTAGAAAAAAATACAAACTAAAGTCAAACTTGTGCACCCAGTTCTTTTTAAAGTGCAATAAAGATGTATGCTGTACAATCTTTCCACACTGAGAAAATGAACAGTTCAAAGAAATAATTCAAGGCCCTAAATTACAATGACCATAACACGTATTAATACTTCTGACCGCAACTGTATGTTGCTTGTGACCTATTTATAAAAAGTCAGCTGTGCAGTAACCTCATCTATTTACCACACAGTGGAGCTGTTGCATGTCTTTCTTTTGGCCACTTTGTTCTTTTGATACGGCCACATGTTTTTGTTCCTGTGTATTAAGTGTTATATCCTGTGCTTGTGCCTTGAATGTAACTACAAATGAACTGCTGGTCACAAAAGCAAAGTTTGAAAAGAATAATTTAAACTGTCTCTTCCTTTCAGGCATAAGCACAAGCGTTATTATTGAGGTGCAAGAAAAAAAATGCTATGCAAGATTAAAGCATCACATTCATTCTCTGAAATGCAAAACGTCTTATTAAAATTCTGTTTATCTCAAAGAGCCAAGATGAAGATTCTCAAATGATGACAGAAGTGGACCTGTTTATCTCCACTAAAGCTGTCAAAGTACTGAATGCTGACACACAGGTCAGTGGCTCTTAAATTTGTGTGTTGCCTTCTTCTTGTGCATAAACACAATTTATTTTGAATCATGATTGTCATTACTTTTGTTCCTCATAGGAAACAATGATGGACAGTGCCTTGCGAACCATCTCCTACATCGCAGACATCGGCAGCATTGTAGTTCTGATGGCACGGAGGCGCATGTCTCAGGCCTCATCAGAGGAGCTCTCTGAATCTTCGGACTCCACCAGCGAAGGGAAGAGCCAGTACAAAATGATCTGCTATGTCTTTGAATCAGAGGATGTAAGTATTGCCATTCTTTTCTACTTTACGCTCTAGTTTTACATTTTTACAATAATCTCTGGTCACTTGCTTGCTGTTGTCAGCTGGGATAGCCTTTCTGCTGAGCGGTTTCCCCCAAATGCTCCCCTTCCCGTAGGCGCAGCTAATCGCACAGTCTATTGGTCAGGCGTTCAGTGTGGCCTACAGAGAATTCCTGCGAGCCAATGGCATCAATCCCACCGACCTGAGCCAGAAACAATACAGTGACATCATCAGCTCCCAGGAAATGTACCACGATGACCTCGTTCATTTCTCAAATTCAGACAACTGTAAAGAGGTGTGACATTTTTTTTATTCCACTGTTGGCTAATTGTAAATGAAGACTGATGGATTTTCCACCCTAACAGAATCTCGCTAATTTTCAATATGAAATTCAAAGTGTGCTTAAAAAGGTTTAAAAAATACTTGTATACTGTATTACAGCTGTATATAGAGAAGCAGAAAGGCGAGATCCTCGGCGTGGTAATAGTCGAGTCTGGCTGGGGCTCCATTCTGCCCACGGTCATCCTGGCCAGCATGCTGAACAGTGGGCCCGCAGCGCGCTCTGGAAAACTCAACGTGGGCGACCAGATTATGTCCATCAATGACACAAGTCTCGTGGGGCTGCCACTGGCCACCTGCCAGGGCATCATTAAGGTATGGAGTACATCAGGAACCTCCAGTTAGCCCTTTACTTAGAGTCATAAGTTAGATAAGGAAGTATTTGAATCAAAGAATAGCACAAGGAAAACTATCTGTAGTTAGTAGTGCTGGACTAAACAGCCCAAAAGTATGAATTACAGTGAAAGTACCTAAATATTAGTGGACTTTTAGGTGGTCCCTCTTTTCACCCTAAAAGGATTAAGTGGACAGGAAAGAAGAACACGAATGAATAAATGTAATTTTGACCATGACACTAACAAGCACATAGAAATACCACATAAGCACAGGGACAGCACCAGTCTTTAGTCCACCTCCACAAACCTTTTGACTTCTGAAACATGTGAATGCGTTTCTGAATGTGTCCCAGGGTCTGAAGAACCAGGTGAAGGTAAAGCTGAGTATTGTAAGCTGCCCTCCTGTCACCACCGTCCTCATCAAGAGACCCGATCTCAAGTTCCAGCTCGGCTTCAGTGTTCAAAATGGCATTGTGAGTGCAGCCGTATCACTCGTTACCATGACTCTAAACTTAAGATTGAACTTTCAACTCAGGCTTATTAAATGCTTAGGTGCATGCAGGTTTTTTTGTCATGTTATAGCATCACAATGATGGTTGCTTATGTTAAAAATAGCAATAATGAGCTCAGCGTATGTACAAATAATTGCTGTGAGCCAAAAGCTCAGGCGTCATTCTGCTCTGATAGTTTTTGAGCTGCTGCACCAGGGCCAAGATAAATAAGGAACTGTGAACCATGAAAGCTACTCTAGTACATGCCAAAAATATGTTAATATTTACAACATACCCCCTTGTTGACTGGGAGTGTTGGTATTTATGATGCAGTTCCACATTTGGAGTTATTTTGCTTCCTCAGATCTGCAGCCTGATGCGAGGCGGTATCGCTGAGAGAGGCGGCGTTCGTGTTGGACACAGAATCATTGAAATAAATGGTCAGAGTGTCGTTGCCATGGCACACGAGAAGATAGTTCAAACCCTGTCCATCTCTGTGGGTGAGGTAGGAACTCCTCATGACACAAGATGGCAATTTTCTCCGATTACTGCACCACACAAACACTGTGCCACACAGGCCTTTCATAGATGCATGCACATTAGAGTTTGGTTTAAAGCCAAATCACTGGGTACACACAGGGCCACAGAATGCCTGTAAGTGATGGGTCAATAAAGTCAATAAAATCCTGTGATTAAACAAACCATGGTTAAATATTTTTTTAAATTAAAACTGACTAGTACAATAAAGGATGTTTGTGTGAGAAAACTCACATTCCAGAGAAATTAACTATTGTGTACTTTCACAGTGATTACAGGAATCTATTTCCTTGAGTGCAAGTTTACAATTTATCCCTATGAGCGTGCTTTAAAGGAACAGTTTGGGAAATTCTTTTGCCCTTCCTTGTTGACTCATAGTCCAGCACATTAACTCCAATAAAACCATCACGTTGTTCGCTGTTTCAATTAGATAAACTCAGCTGTTTCAAACTGTCAGGCAGCTCATGCTTCACATTGATTTTTTACATTTTTTCAGGAAATTGTTATACATCTTTTAACTCTTGACCAAAGTAAATGAATATGGCAACATATCAAACTAGTATTAAACACAAACAAATGGATGGAGAATACAGTGGAGACCTGATGGTTCAGATCCCAGTTTGTGTTGTGATGCTCAATGCTTCAAAACTTAAAGTTAAACATAATCAAAAATATGTACCGAATATTATTTAAAACTTTAACTTAATTTTCAACCACTTTTGTATTTTCTCTGTAATTTCTTCAAGTGTACGTTCTGATAGAAAAGATCTCTGTTTGACAGCAATACATCTGAATCCTTTTCTCAGTCTCTGGTGGGACAGAGAGGAGTAAGTAAATTAGGGCCGATTACATATCTGTCCATGTGTAAATGCATCTGAAGTTGATGGGTTAACCCAGGGAGCTCACTTTACATTGTGGGCCACATACAGCCCACTTTGACTTTCAGGCGAGGGATAAGTTTAACCCCAGTCAGAACCCCTCTGATATCTTCACATACAAAAAAAGAAGTACAATTTTAGCTGCATGTCTCAGTTTTTCTATATGATAAAGAAATTCTGCTGTAGTAAATGGAAGAAATCTGTAAGCATGGCACTTTGGGACTAAACTGTAAGTAACAGATGTGTAAAAGCACAGAGAATGTATCTCATTGCCCAGACTGACCTGTAATAATAAAGCAAAGTTTTTCTTGCTTTTTAAAAGATACCATAAAGAAATAGAAACTCTTCTATTAGATGGTGAAAAAATAGGATTTCTTTGTCATTTCATTGTTCTTTTTTTTCTTTAACTTAGGTGTAGTACGAACAATCGTGAAGGAGGCCTTCATCAGTAGAAAAAACTGTACAATTTATAAAAATGCAGTTAAAAGTCCCAAATCGTTCCTGTGGGCCGCCTCAGAGTCTTTGTGGTGCCAATTCAGGGCCCGTGTGCCACATGTTTGACACCCTGCATTTACCCACCCTGCTTCTTTCATGTTTCCCTCTGTGCCAGATCAACATGAAGACGATGCCTGCTGTGATGTTCAGACTGCTGACGGGACAGGAGACGCCCGTCTACATATAGAGGACCCTGCATGGATCAGCCCCACTGTAGCTCTGCATGTCTGGCTGCGTGACGACAATAAGACAGGTGGCTCAGTGGGACGAGGAGAATTTATTTTTCTATCATTTTATTTTTTTTGGCCTGTTGTCGCGACGCTGTAAAGAACATCCGTTTCTCATTTTCCCAGGTTTTATCTTGAATTACATCGTCATAATGGCCTTACAATGTGAATACTCTGTCTGTAGTACTGTACGTGAGTTTATGGTGTTGAAGGAAAGTAGCTTTACGGTCATGTTTATTTTCTTATGAAGAGATAAATTAGTACATTTATTTTTTATTTAGTCATTTTTATAATGTGTATGGAGTTTAAAATTGTACTTCTACTGTAAATACTTTGGATTTCTCAAGGACTTGATTGGAAAGGCCATATAACTTCTGCAGTATATGCATGTGATAACGAAGAATACGATTTACTGACCAGGGATTCATTCTCAATCCAACATGTTAATCTATTACAATTAGTATCAAAAGAAGATAATAAGATGCTGTACAAAGGCACTGAACTCTGTGTATCGTGGTGACGCTGAAGGCCAAAGACACTCTTAATTTTCAAGGACATACAGTATATGGATGATCATTACTTTTACCAGAGCGTACAAGAATGTATCAGAATATACAATACTGAATGAATGTACAGTTATAACACACAGAAAATACAGTTTCACTGCTGAGCACTTGTTTGTTTTCATTTTATTCAGCTCTTAAAAAATTACAGGACAGAAAAAAACCATATTTAACAGGATTACAAGAGAATCAATTCAACCTATCAGAGCACTGTGTGTGCATGAATCTGATGCAAGGAAACCACATGTTCCAACATTCGGGCTCTCGCTGCTTCTCACTAGTGTGGGGTCGCTTAGAAATCTCCTTTTAGAAATAAAAAGCACATTTGTTTTTGCTTAGTATATCATTAAATGTTCAGAAATGTGTTCACCAGTCCCGTCGTAAATTTGTGCCATCTGGCTCTTGCAGGTATTCAATAATGCTGCCAGCTTAGGAGTTGTGTTTCTGAAACTAGAGACTCTAATGTTTTCTGTTCTGGTGAGAGCCAGATTGCACTGGTCTCTGGAGGGAGTAGCGCGTGCTGTCGTATTACATCTTCAGTTTTTAAGCAATTTCTTGGATCGAGTAGGCTTAATTTTATTAATAATGTCTTTGACCAACTTTCTGATCAGTTTAATGTAAATAAAACCAAATGTGCATTTCCTTTAAAAGAGCGGATTCTTAAAGTGTATACTCTGTGTACAATCAATATGTATCTGTGTTGTCTCATGTTTCATTACCAAACAAGCAAAACAACGAGAGCTCTACCATCCACACCCATCACACTATATGGTAAATGGCCTGTAAAATGGCCTGTATTTATATAGCGCTTTACTAGTCCCTAAGGACCCCAAAGCGCTTTACATATCCAGTCATCCACCCATTCACACACACATTCACACACTATATACACATTGTATGGATCCCATACGAAGTTATGTTTATTTACAGCTACTACAACATGAGAGTGACCTTTACAAATGTGACTATTTACAGTGGACTCAATTTCAAGACATTATTATTTACAGGCTCACACAGATAACTAACACGTGAAAGTCGAGACTTTAACTGTAACACATTCAACAAAAAACATTTTCAAGTATGAACAATGAAATCTCCCTGAGAGGGAATCTGCACAGCTTCATAAATGTTCCTGTAACACAGAAAGAAAACGATCAAAGTTAGCTGAACGACGTCTTTATCATGGATATAAAGGTGACTATGGCGGCCGTATAAACTAACTATGGGAATGCCTTTCTAATACACTATTCGGTCTTGTCCCACAGTAGAATTTACTTATATTAAAGATAAGAACTGTTGCTGCTTTAAACAAATGATTGAGATATTAACAGGCAGCAGAATGATAATTTGTTGATTACTAATCTTCTCAAAAACTGTACGAACCACCCTCATGAATGTACTTACTTCTGTAACTTTTAAATTCACTGGTGAAATTGTCACTCCATCGAGGAAAAATGAATTCAGGTAGCCCTCACTGTATGAATCATCCTCGTCTTCACAGCCGTCGACACCGACACTGAAAGCCTCTTTCATCTTCTCAGGGACCAAAAAGTCAAGCATCACCACAAGAAGCCCAATGAGGGTGCACAGGATGCCTGAAAATCATTTGAGTTAGTAACAGTCGGGCTTGGAATGATAAATTCAAGTGCAAAACATGCAAAATCTATGTGCAAATTCATGTGTTTACCTGTAGCCAGGGCCAGCCAAAACGAATGGCTGTATTCTGTTTCAAAGGAGTCAGTTCCTATGTAGAAAACACACTGAGGCACATTCATGATGGTGGTGAAGGAGATCATGGAGAAGAAGATGAATGCAGCAGTGGCAACCACCATGTACCCAGCGTACCGGATTACTGGCATGGAGAAAAGGATGTTGGCGAGCATCCAGCAGCAAAATGCTGTCCTGTGGAGCAATTATTGCACAGGGATTGGAATTTCTACATCGCCCGAAAATTAGAGCACACGGTATTATTTGACAAAATCAAGATATGAGTTATTAACAATCACCAGAGTGTTGCAGAAGCGTATCGTCCAGAGTATCTGTACTGAAAGATGAGACCACACGGGCTGCTCGGGGTGAATTTTTCAGCGATATACAGAATGGGGTTGGGTAAACCTTTCTCCAGAGCTTCCTCATATTCTTCAATAGTGTCATGCCAGGTGAACATCTCATTGTAGTCAATGGTCTCATTAAACTGTACGACAGGATTCCCTGAGTGAGATCAAGCAGATGTAAATACTACTAAGCAACACAGATAAAAAAGGAACTTTTCTGACGTGTATATGCAGAAGATGTTGTTGTAGCACCGACTCCTTTCACAATAAAAACTGCAGGAATATTTGACGAGACGTCACAGGTTGCTTACTGTGACTCACCTTTCAGCGTAACGTTAATGCCATACAGTCCGACATGCAAGCCAATCTCCGCGTTAACCACCGCGTTGCTGAAAGACTTATAGGTGGCTTTTGTGGTCATTCTGGCCTCGGCCCAGTCGTTAGTGAAGTTGAGTGCTGCAGGGAAAAAATTAACTTGAAAGTCTAGAAAACAAAGGTGGCAGGAAGAATAAAATCTTTGAAAAACAATACGAATGCAAAACTCACCCACTATCACGGCACCAATGAACAAGCTGGTAACTATTCTAAATGTCCAGAAGAGCCGCTGAGAGGAAGAGACAGACAAATTATTTCAGGTGACTTGAATGGAAAAAAAAGGTGAGGAAACTGAAATGACAGCATTACAACTGCTATTATTTTTGCACTTTTCAGCAACCACTGTTAGAGGCGCAGAAAGAGAGAGAACAATAGTGAGGTTTCGTCACTTATTTGCAGTGAGTAATAGTTTTTCTTTTTTTGGACTTGGTTGCACTCACCGACTTCCCTCGTATCCCGGGTAGAATGAGAAGAAGACTGACCGCTAACACAAGGAAGACCAGAATAATGGTGAGCAAGCGGCTGCTGAAGATAAACGGAGTCCTTTGTACAGTGTAGAATGGGTAAATGTCATCGTAGAAAGTCATCTTAGCTTCTGCTCTTACAGACACAACTGAGACTAGACAGCGTAACAGAGAAGACAGTGTTAGTGACAGAGTTCTCAGTTTCCCCACCCAGATGCAGAGATAGACACTCTTGTTACTCACAGCTGATAAGGTGCTTTACATTACTACGACTATGTAACATGGCATGATTAAACATAAACATGGCCGCCTTATTAATTCCTCAGGCACTGTGTGCCTTCGCTGCAAAGAAATAAATGCATCTGTTTAACAGACAAACACATGCAATCCTATACATCCATTCAGCCACCTCTGCCACTGTAATGTAAATCACCGCTCTTCTCTTTTCTCCATCCTGATTTTAGTGTGTTCAGTCACACCTTAAATAATCATGATAATAATAATGACAAAAACTCAATGAACCTATTGTATAGAAATATCTTAGAGATAGAGATAGAGATATCTTACCTTAAAGTTAAGTCAGTGATCACTGAAGGAGAAGGAAGTTAAGTGTGAAGGTTGAAGAAGCATAGGCTTCTTTTATACCAGCAGGGCCCCCCCTCGTTTCACCAGGGAGGAGGATGCATTAACTGGAATACTGTGGAAAAGAGGTGTGATCCAGGAATGATGGCCATTCCCATTTGGGAAACAGGTCACATTGAGTTTGTGATAAGCTGTGCAGAACATTTAAACTTTAGTATTGCACCATCCCTCCGCAGCACCTGTGCTACTGAACTATTCTGCGCAACACTTCAACCTCTGCAGTAGGTGAGAATCAACTACTTGCTCATCTTCAGTCAGATACTAAGAGATAAAAGGCACATGATATTTTCTTTGGACTAGAGTTAAATAGACATTAAATACACGTTAAATGGTACTGTCGCGATGAAGCGGTGCAGTTTAGGTTTTTGTCAAGTTTTGCTGTTTGTTTGAAAAACTAGAGCGCAGTCGAGTTAAACTTGGAGGAATTTTCTTCTTTCTGTTAAAGCAGCCTTGTTTAATTACATGTTAATGAGGATATAAAAGGAAATACAAGTTACCTTCACTCCGTCTTCACTTCTCAGTACTCAACTACTCCTCTTGGCCGAATCCTGCGCTGAGGAGCACCTCTCGCATCAATGGATTTGCGTAAATGGGTTTGGAGTGTGTGTGCTGCGTTTGGCTTGGTGCTCACTGTTAGTGAACGTAAGTAGAAAGGAAAGACCGTGTTTTCAGACTCTTTTAACTTTATTAATGTAAAATAAATTCCAATTTGCTCGACATGTACCGAACAGGTTCGCACTGTGAGATAACCTGGGAGGTTCCTCGCTTTGACGGCTGGTACAACAGTCTGGGATATCCCCGACGCGGAGCTGTCGGTAAGTCAAGGAGTTGCTCAAGTGTGCAGCCGCGGTGAACTCTACAAACTCTACATCACCGCGCTGTGCTTGTGCTCGCGCAGGTACTCATCTGATGCGCCTCGTGCCCGCGCGTTACTCGGACGGAGTCTACCATCCTGTCCAGGAGCCGCTGCTTCCAAACCCCCGCAGACTGAGTAGGCTGCTGGCGGAGGGGCCCTCGGGTCTCCCCTCCACACGCAACCAGACCGTGCTCTCGCTTTTCTTTGGTAAATATAAAGCTATATAAATAATGTAAAATAAAATGGTTCGCTGAGCAAAAGAAGGATACAAAGCACAGATATTACTGACACTGAAACATGGCACGCCTAGAATCCTGAATGGAAATTTACTTGTGCACCTTCAAGGGGGAAACTTTTTAAAAACGTAATTTAGGGCAAATACAGCAAACCTTTCACACATTATGAAGGTCGGATTTGATTGGTGTTTCAGTGTGTGTAGTTTTACGTCTTGTTGACTCTGAAATTAATGTTAATTTAGATCATCCTTCAAAATAAGAGTTCGGAGGCGTTACCAAGATGTCTGCTGAGATAGTGGTGTGCGATACTTCAATTTCGGGTTGGGAAATTGATAACAATTAAATGCATGGCTAGTGTCGCCAATACCAATAACAATACCGATACTTTTAACCGATAAAGGCAACTTATCTAGGGGAGAGGAGTGTGACATGATTCACCGGATGAATCATCATGAATCATCTTAAATGTGCAAATTCTGGACACATTTTAATGACCACTGAATCACTGTGAACTTTCCACAGTACTTAGTTAACACAACAAAAAACGCTTTCAGCTTTTCCCTTATTGGACACGTTTAATAAGTTTTATTGTCATCTGAGCGCCTGGTTCACTCTGACAACTGCTAACATATGTAGTACAGTATAAAGCAGGTAAAAGGAAGTTATTTTCCATTTTTTCAGGTTATCATGTTACATTTGAAATTTTTGACTCAAGAACTCCTGGTTGCCCACCTGAGTTCATGCACATCCCAGTCCCAAAAGGTGACCCTGTCTTTGACCCGACCGCCTCCGGGAAAGTTCTCCTGCTCTTCCAAAGAGGACCGTGGGACAAAGAGTCAGGACAAAGTCCCAGTAACCCTCGCATACAGGTACCAATTCTATCTTGACCATTGTGTTAAGATAGATTTGTGTTGCGTCTAAGTCCTGCTGCAGTCTTCAGCGTAAATGTGTCTCTGTGCAAACAGCTGTATGGACAATTTTTTCCTGATTTATATGTGACATGCACACTATACAATACAGGTCAACTTGGTGACCGCCTGGATAGATGGTAGCTCCATTTATGGCCCCTCCACTTCCTGGTCCGACTCCCGGAGAAGCTTCTCTGGAGGCCTCCTCACTTCAGGCTCTGAGTGGAACATGCCCAAGAAAGGAGGACGCCAGATGTGGAGCGCTGCTGATCCCTCTACAAGGGAAGCTGTAGCAGAAGGCCTTTATGGTGAAAAAACAAAGTTTTGATAGTGTCAAACACTAATTTCCCATTCGATAAGATCACTAAATATAAATATAAATAATATAAAAAAAGGAACAAAATTAACCCTCATATGTAATTATAATACTTACATGTAGGAGGACATATAGCATGTAGGGAATAGCTTTTTTAAAACATAATTATTTTCTATAAATGGAGTCTGGGAAGCCCACACAAATAGTATTATTTTACATTTTTTAAATCTTAATTTTGTTTGCAAGAGGTGACATTTAGTGTGCCAAAACTTAACAATGCAGTTGCCTATTATCTGAATATTTTCTTCTCCTTAAAAAAAGTAAGAGGAAGTCATTATATATCAAGACTGATACTGAGGTTTTTCCACATACACTATATGGAAAATATTGGGCCACACCTCTTAAATTCAGGTGTTTTTATTCAATTCAATTCAGTTTTATTTATATAGTGCCATATCACAACAGCAGTCATCTCATGGTGCTTTATATTGTGAGGTAAAGACCCTAGAATGATAGAGAGAAAATCCCAATACTCAAATGACCCACTTTAAAAATGCACTTGGTGACAGTGGGAAGGAAAAACTCCCTTTTAACAGGAAGAAACCACCATCAGAAACAGGCTCAGGGAAGGGTAGTGATCTGCTACAGCCAGTTGCGGTTAAGCAGGGGTGGGCAATCTCAGTCCACGAGGGCCGGTGTCCCTGCAGGTTTTAGATGTGTCCTCGAACCAACACAGCTGATTTAAATGGCTAAATTAGCTCCTCAACATGTCCTGAAGTTCTCCAGAGGCCTGGTAACGAACTAATCATGTGATTCAGGTGTGTTGGGCCAGGGTGAGATCTAAAACCTGCAGGGACACCGGCCCTCGTGGACTGAGATTGCCCACCCCTGCGTTAGAGGGAGACAGGATGACACTGTTATCACCACAGGTGTATAAAATCAAGCACCAGTCATGGAGTCAGCCTTTGTAGACAGTTGTGTACGATTGGGTCGTTCTGAAGAGCTCACTGGATTTGAGTGTGATACTATAGCAGGATGTCACCATTGCAACAAATTAGGTTGTGAAATTTCTTCCCTGTAGATCTAAGTTCAAGCATTTAGGAACCATAGCAACACAAAACAGCAGACCATGTAAAGTTACAGAGTTGCCAAGTGAGGCAGATAGTGTGGAAAAGTTGCCAACACTCTGCTGGCTCAATAACTGCAGAAGTCTAAACCTTCTCTGCATGAACATCAGCACAAGAATGGTGAGCTGGGAACTTCATGCCCCTCTAAGTTAAAACTGCAGGTGCCTCAGTACATTTGTCCACACAGTGTATATGTTTTTGTTTTGTAAGCATCACTAAATCATTGTGATTGCACATTATATAAGTCCAAATCACATAACTCTCTTTGCACGCCATGTGGTAATATCCACCCAATCAAGAAAACAAACACCCAAAAAATGTATGCAAATACTTCTTCACCCTCAGTATGTGTTACAGTCTGCCAGGGTGAGTCAAGGGAGGCCCAGACTGACGTGGGTTATGACTCTGTAGTTGTTTTGTAAATGGCCTGTCACGCCAACCACAGTAAATCCCTTTCTTTATAGCAGAGAAGATGGCATACAGGTGTCATGAAACCAGTGTTTTTGTTGGCTGTCTGGGGAGGATCTTCTTCTTTTGTTGTCACATCCTTAAAAACAAGTAGCTAAATTATTGTTCTATTAGCGGTCAGAGATCTTGAAAAATCAACACAAAATGAAATGGACACTTGGCTAAAGATGCATGAAATATTAATGATCGTTCGGTTGATTTTTATTTTAAAATATTAACTGTAAAGGCAATTTCTGTATATTGTGTTGTGATAATAATGCAAAATGAAATGATGGCAGAGGAGAATTTGCTAGATTTTCTATCTTCTTTTCTGCCCAGAGTTGGGAAATGCCTGGGCTAACGAGAACGTGTTCACAGCAGCAGAGGGGATTATCTGGTTTCGGTACCACAATCATATCGCCTCCAAACTCCACAACAATCACCCAGAGTGGTCAGACGAGGAGCTGTTTCAAAACGCCAGGAAGACCGTTGTGGCCACATTCCAGGTAGATGGAAAAGTCTCCACGTAATCCTCTCGCTGCACAGATGCTGATTTAATTTGCACTCTTGAGAGAAGAAGGTTGCATCAATGCTAGGTGGTCGTTAAAGGCGAATGCATCATCCCTCACTCATTTGATTAGCACTTCTGCTCCCTGCGCAAGCTGTCATGAACCGCAGTGACCATGTCTTGATGTTTTTAGTTGTTTTTAGAACAATAGATCATTCACCCGCAATTAATTCTTTTTAAAATGTAAGCTACTGGATTCATCATCACATCAATCTACTGCGTTATGCCTGGTTCATACACAGTTTAAATATAAAAAACTGATGTTTTTCCTGCCTTGTTTCCACACAGAATATTGCTCTCTATGAATGGCTGCCTGCGTACCTTAATGGCAAAAAGCTTCCTCCCTACCCAGGTAAGAATCAGCCAGAGTGCATGTGCATGTAGAAGCAGGGAAGAACAGGTCATGCACCGGTGACCACAAGCCGTGGTGAGGTGAGCCATCGGTGGTGGAGTTTGACAAAAAGTGTGTGCCGTCAGCAAAGCATTAACCCGAGTCTTCTTCTTGTGCTGAATAAGCAGCCACGGCTGAAGAAAGTTAGAAGATAATGGTCAGATGATCCCAT